ATCCTGATCCCTCTACTCATCTTACTCCTTCACTGATTTCAAGGAAAAAGGATTTGTCTCTGCTAATCTGTTTGTACAGTTAACCTTCACCATGCTGGTCCAGGGCCATACTTGCCAGCAACAGAGACAAATCCAGGTCATTGTGACTTTAGCCTGGATTAAAAAGCTGTTCAGATTGCCATCTTTAAGACTGTGTTTAGGTGTCTAATAAGCCTCATAGTCTGTTTTTCTTAATCTGAATTCACAGAAGCCTGTAATGATAACAGATATCACGGAAGGGGGGAAAATCCAAATCACTTTCTTGGTTTGCATTATCACTGCATTTGTCTTGAATGCCAGATGAGCTCACATCAGAGGGCCCTTGGGATGGTTTGGAGCTAACCAGCAGTCTCATTTTGCAGACAGAAAGTGATATATTGCTGAGAACTGAGCTGGAAGATATTGCAAAGAGGCATCCTGAGCAGTTTGTGCTGTGGTACACACTGGACAGACCTCCTCAAGGTAGGCTGGGACACACAGGAATGCCTTTGCTTGTTGCTGTGCAACAGGCAGAGCTCCACTCTTGTTCAGGTGAACATCAGATCAAGTCTTCTTGTTTTACATTTTTAAACAGCGAAGACATTCCCCAGCTCCTCAGGAAAAAAAAACCCTTACCACAACCCTTGTGTTAAAAAGTGATCTAAACCAGTTGGGCCTTTAGAAAGTGTGAACTAGTAGTTAACTCCTGTTGGGTCAGACATGTTACTCAGTGGATCTTTCCATGTATTTCAGGATGTGCCTGTTTTTGGGACTTTTCAGCAAAAGTTCATCTCTGTTTTGGGCTGTCTCCCAGACCAGTTTATGTTGGCATTTTGTTGGCATCAAATTGCCTAATACCTGTAAACATGCACATCTTTATTTTGCAGCAGCTCTAGATTAGGTTCTAGGCTGCCATTATAGACTAGTGTGTTACCTGTGGGCTGGTGTAGGGGTTGAACTCTCTGTATTTCCTTTGAAACTGGGTATTCATGCTTGCTGATGTAAGGGATCTGAGCACCTCCTGAACAGTCATAAGAGCCAAACAGAGTCACATCGAAGTTCTGTACCTGTTGTCAGCAACAGCCATGAGTTAAATAGCCAGAGAATAGTCATCAGCAGGCCTTGATACTCTTCCAGCCTTTAATATTTCTCAGTTTGAAGCCAAATGTGTCTCTAGAGATACAGTCACTCTCAGTGGGCTACATTTGTCAAAACAAAGTGTCTCTCCTGTGTGTTTTGACAGTCTGTGAGTGGTTCCATAGGAATAGCACATTTCTGTGGAGAACAACTTCCTCTGGTTTCCATTTGCCTCTTAATCCTTGTGTTGGCAGAGTGTGACTAAGTCTTCACGTTACTAATTTTACAGACCTCTGTCAATCACCCCAGCTGCCACATCTCTTCTAGGCTGAAGATTGCTGTGATTACATACCTTTGCTCATCTGTGTCCTCTCAACCTTTTCCAGCTCTGCTGTGTCCCTTCTTGAGCTGAGCAGATCAGAACTGAACAGCAGCAATCAAGGTGTAGGCAAACTGTATTTTTGCTTTGATGTGGTTCTCCCTTTTCCTTTCCTGACCCTTCTTGACATTTCATATGCCTTTTGACTGCTGCTTTTTTCATATCTTGCTCATGAGAAATGAGCTTAAAGCACATACTTCTATTTATAAAGGCAGTTTTCCTACTGCTCACTTCAAGTGGCAGGTACATTCAATATTACTGCTTGAAATAATTTAGCATTTTTTTCCTCTTTTAATTTTTTTTTTCCTCTTTCTTAAATATATGGTGGAACTTTTGTCATCATCAAACTTTGTCACCTTGATCTCTAAAAAAAAAAAAAAAAATGCAAAAATGGGTTGGATGGCACAGGTCTGACCACCTCTCCCTGCACAACTGCCACTGGGTGGGCTCTCTTCACTGGAAAAGCTGATTCACTCTTCCTTTTTATTCTTGCCTGCTCATTTCTTTTAAATCTAACATTTATTCACAGACTTATCAACCAGGTCCTTGTTATCCACGTGCTTGTTGTCCCTATGGAAGGGGACCACTAGGTTTAAACTCAGTGAGAAATTTAACCCTCTCCTGGCTCACAGTGGTGGTGGCATGACTGCTGATTCTTCAGCTGCTTTGTGAGTGCAACATACACAGTTTAAAAAAGCTTCAGGCTGTATAGATTTTTCAAACTAATAGTTTAATTTCTTTGTTTCAGACTGGAAGTACAGTTCTGGCTTTGTCACTGCAGACATGATGAAAGCTCACCTCCCTCCCCCGGGCAGTGAGACCCTCATTCTCATGTGTGGGCCACCTCCAATGATTCAGTTTGCCTGTCAGCCCAACCTGGACAAGCTTGGCTATCCCAAGAGCAGCACATTTGCTTATTAACACAGATGCCATCTGATACCTTTTTGTAAGTACTGTGTATTTTCCTACAGGAACAACTGATATGTAACTGTGCAGCATTTTTTTGGGGGGTGTTTGTGTGCGTGATTGTTTTTAACCCCTAAAAGTGGCTTATAACTTCATAGTTACCTTTCTGTGTTTTGATACTAAGAAGCTGAGAAATCATCTTGAGTTGTGTGGCAGCAACTTAGTCTAACCTCTTAAGAGTTAGTATGAAAATGAATTCTGAGGGGAAAAAAAATTAAGTGTAATCAGAGAGGTAGGAGAGAGAGATAAAATGTATGTTTTATAACCCATGTGTTTCTCAACATGGGTTATAAAACTGGTGTAGGATCACTTGACTGCTCCATAGGTAATTCATTTAGTGAATCCTGGGGAAGGAGAGTACAAAGCACAGGGGGGTTTTTGTGTTTTGGTTTTTTGTTCCTTTTTTTTTTAATGCTGTTTTACAGCCCTTCTATCAGGGCCTAAGAAAGAAGTCACAGTCTGCTACTGAAAAAGTGAGCAGAATTTGGGTAACGTGAAAATTGTAACAGAAATTCTCATTAGTGTGAAATTTATCTGGGAGGATAACATGCCTTCATGCTGTCTTCTAACAGCCTTAGCTAAAGAAGCACTGCCAAGGGATGTTGCATCATTTGCATGTCATTCTCTTGGAGCTTGCTAAGAAATTTCCTTTGCTTAAGAGATATCATGGCTTCTTTTTGCCTGGTGTAAACTATGCTGAGCTGATCATACTCAGCTAGTGCCTCATCTTAGAGTTTTTACCACTTAGCACTGAATTTTTAGTCTTCAGTGCCTGAAGTCCTTCATGGTCATTTCCAGGAATTAGTTCACACTATATTTGACAAATCCCTGGGCCAGCAGACTTGCTTCTTCAGCAGTTAATATAGGAGTTTACTAAATATTTTTATTCATCTAAAGCAAACCTAAAGGAATCTACTTGTTTAAAATTGACATAGGGGTTTTGTACTTTATCAGCTACATTTGTAGCAATAATGCAAGGAAAGACGTGGGGATTCAGACTGGGATTCTGATGAGAGGTCAGCTACTTGTATTTGTGTTAAATCATTCCACAGTCAGGAAGAGATAAAGGAACATCCAGAATTTATTGGTAACAGTCAAAAAATAAGCATTTATACCAGTGTTATGCTAATTAGGATTTCTTACTACTTATACTTAAAAAAAAAAAAATCAATAATTTTGTAGATTGACTATTCACAGCCAACAACACACTGAGTTATAAACACAGCTTTGAAAGAAATGGGAAAATGTGTTTGGAATATCCCAGTGATACTAAGGCTGCCTCTGCTGGAGCAGTTTATCCCATTTGCAGTCTGCTGGCTAATTAACCTGGAAAGGTATTTCAAATGCCCATGATGCCTGATCTGGTCACTAGTACTGACTGCGTTGCCAGACTGGTACATTTAATACCTTTTATTAAACATTTGTAGTTGGCTGATGTGCAGACTGACATCTCATGCGTCTGGATTTTCCATTATCATTTAATTTTTCAGCAACTTGAAAAGAATTTGCCTCAGCTTTACCATTTTGAACCATAAAAATCATGTGTTTGGCTTCTTAAATCTGAGCGTACACTCCAAGGTCTGCCATGAGAAACTCATGGAGAGAGGAGTAGGATAGGTCACCTTCAAAAAGTGCCACGGGTAGTTCTCAAAGAGCCCTTGCTGCATGCTCTGGACAATACTGGAGATTTCCCCTTTATTTGGGAGGGTTGTGGCTGGGAGGGACCTGCCCTCAGGCTCTATTAGTATGTACTCTGCAGTCAGTGAGTGTTGCAAGAGTCAGAGAGTAAGGCAAACCAGCCAGATACAAAGTCTTTTCCTTACAGCTAAGCAGATTTCTGTCTGGCATTTCCCTATTTACTAACATAGCTTGTTAATAGCTCATTAATACAGGAGAGGCACACGTAAACAGATGCCACAAGTAATTGCTGCTGTAAAGGAGACAGTTTCACCCTCAAGCAGCCCCTCAAGTAAGTAGTGAGAGGCCATAATTCCCTCTGCTGCAGTCATGCCTAGCTCAGCAGAATAGCAACAGATCTGTTTTGCCAGGTGTTTTAAAGAAATAAATATTTATTTTATTATGATACTTTTCTGGTAGTCTTGGAGTTACAATCCTGCTGTAGTTCAGCATCTTTTTGCATCACACAAAGATTTGTGAATGTGCTAGGTTGTTGTCCTCCTGATAAATTCAAGGGCTTGATGGACAGCATTATGTTCTATTCTTCCCAGACACTGCACTGAGGGTAGGATGTGTGCTAGTGAAAGGGATGAGAGATTAAAATCCTTTATGGGAACCAGTCTGGCAAGACCAGAGTAGTACTGAGTGAGCCATCACTGCTGCACTCACCAGCATCCATCTGAATTTCCAGGTAGCTCTGCTGGAAGCCCACACGGTACAATAGTTTATTAATGATTCCTGCGTTACAAGTTAATTATAAAAATAAAAAAATTACAAAAGGTCTTTCGTGTAACACAGCATGTAAAAGAGGACTGAATGAAAGGGTAAAACATGGTGCCAGTCTTGGCTTTCCAGACTCTGGATCTGAGTCCCATTCTTCTCCCAACACCTATTTCATATGACACTATATGGAAAAACAGCACAGAGGAGAGTTACCTGTAAGGTGTGGCTACATTAAATGCTACGTGCTAAGTCACAGTAGTAGAAGAGAGGTAAAGCCATTCTGCACCAGGGCCTCCAGCTGCTCCTGGCCACTCCTGACAGGCATGAGGTATGAGTAGTGTTCTTGGTCACGCTGGAACATCATCTCCAGTCTTCAAAGGTAGGTGCTAAAAACTTGCTGTCATTCAGCATTTCATCCTGGCTTAACAGCGTCTGAAAAGGCAAGATGGGAGGGAAGGAGTGAAAAAGTGTTCAGTCACAGAAACCCAGCTGTAATGAGATCAGGCTCACAACAGGGGGGGTTAGAGCTGCATACAGTTAAAAGGAATTTCTTGAATATAGTGCTAAAATACACTTTTTTGCTTGAGGAAATCCTTAGAGATTTCGTGTGTGGCATGCGACTCAACTACCTTATATAATTCTTCATTATATCATTCAGTCCCTTATTTTTATTTTTTAATAAATTAGCCTCTGTGGAGTGAGGAATTAATAATGGGGGTGGTGGTGGTGGTTTTTTTCCATGGAGTTTTAGCTCATGTACATTTTCAAGTCTGTACCTCATTCCTGGTCCTTGCTGGGACCGAGGCATTTGGTGGTGCAAAATCTTTGAAGACTTGTTTTCATTTAAGGGGATGAATACCTGTCATTGTGTTAAAGAGCTAGCAGAGTTCACCAAAACTTAAAATAGGCCTAATTTCTAGAGCAATTTAAAAGCAGAGTGGTTTCTTTACCAAATGCCCAACCAGGCTATAAGGAGGTATTTAACAAGAATAGTGACCCACTTACTCTTAACTACCACCACCAATGACAAACTTTCACTGAATTTTAGCAGAGAGAACACATTTGTGACTTCAGAACAAGAGTGAAATGAGTACCTACCGTGAGCTGGCTTATGCCTTGAGAAAGAGCCCCTATTTGCATTACTGTGCCTTCCGAGTGTTCCATCTGTAAAAGCATTCAGGAACTAGTTCAAATCAGACAGCATGTGCAATTTTATTCACTCTACATGCATCTTTGGGAGGTATCTGTGCCTGGACAAATGAAGTTGTGGTAAGTTTAAAGGGGTGATTTCTGCACATTAACAAAACTGCCTCCATGATATGAGGTACACGAAAACGCACTTAACAATGGGAAGGGTGAATCCTGGTTAGGAAAGATTGATTCCATGAAACTTGGACTCTGTTTCACAGAAGAAAAAAAAAAAGCTCAACTGATATTATCAAAGAGAAGCAGTATTTTCCAGGTGGTCTAACACTGCTTATACTTCTGGTAGGCTTCTTTCACAGGCAAGTAGTAAAAGTCCTTGATGATACAGTCCTACTTTTTTTTTTTACATAAAAGCATGACCAGTTCCAAGGTGTTGTGATTTCACAGCATGACCATGTGCTCAGAACCATGCTTAAGTGAAAGACCATGCTCCTAGAGAAAAATCCAGTATTTCTGTGATGCTTGAACAACTGCATAGTGCAAGTTTTTGGCTCACAGTTAATGCATTCTGTCACAACTCCCAGCTGAACAAGTGGACATCAATACTAAATCACAGGATTTGGTATTCTCCCTATTTAGGAACAGTACCTTATTTTACTAAGGTGTACTTTGAAAAAGACAATGGTTAGATAATGAATACAAATGAGATGTTAGATGCACTAAACCATGCAAATGAAAAAAAATACCTTCACAGTTAGTCTTTTCAATGTTGTGACCATTCTCTTAACAGGCTTAAAATGTTCTTATCTTACTGGAGAAAAGGCAGTTTACCCCAGGTGCCTCTCTCTGGCTCTTGTGTGTTGCCAACGTTCACACAAGGCTCCAGGAGCTCCATTTTTCAGGGTTTATATCCCTTTACACAACAGCAAAATTGAAATAAAATTTGATGGTTTTTAGTCTTCATCATTTGTCTTTACGATGTCTAGACAGTTTCATTCACAGGTTCACTACTACATAACAAAAGGGAATTATTTAAGTATTGGTTTATTAATAATCTTGTTCATTACTGATGCATTGCTTTCACATATACTGTCTAAGCAAAACTACTCCCCACTGTACACAATTAAAGAAAAATTCAGTTGGCTTCTCTGATTAACGTCTGTTAAAAAATACAATCCAGTTGTACTTCGATATAACTCGGTAGCCTTGTACAAATTTGTCCAAATGAATTTATCACATTAAAAACCACCCATAAAGATAATGAAAAAAATAGTGTGCCATACTGAGGTTACGAAAGCTGGAAGTACAAAAGTCTTGTGTTTCCTGCAGCCACCCCCTTAACTGTTAAAACACATTGATCTTCATAGTGTAAAGGTGTCATAGTCCTGAAAAAGGGCTTGAAGATGGAGGAGTTTATTATGATGCTGATTAAAAAAAACCAAACCCCGGCATTCTTAGTAGAGAACTCTCTCCAGTGTCCACAGCCAACACTTTCTCAGTAAGTTCATGCGGATGTAGCAAACAGGCCAATGTTTGGTTATTTGCAAGCTTTGGAATGCATGGAGAGGATGAGATGAGAATGGCATCAGTCTGTCTGTCCCACCTGATCCAGTTCCCTATCAGTGAAAGGACTAAGTCCTTTGTATCCACCATAGTTTTTTGGAGTACCATTCGTAGCAGCTGGGTTTGTATCCATAGGGCAAATGTAGTCTGTTGATTCATCAAACTTCTTTTTTCTTAAGTTTCCAAAATGGGAAAATCCAAGTTTCTTTGGCTAGAATAAGAAGACAACACAAGTAGTTTTGAATGAGAGAAATAAGGTTGTTCTCCTTTTGCATTTACTGCTGTACCCTGGTCATTGAAGTATGTAGATTCTGCACTAAATACATTTCTTTTCAAATTGGGAATTACAGCTGACATTAAATGCATTTACACTGCATTCCTTCTAAGAAAAGACAGAACAGATTGCATGCTTATTTCAGAAGCCCATTTAAACAGACACAAATGAAAAGCTTTGGTATCTCGAGTTAAGGAAAATGTAACACTCCTTCTAGAACTGACCTCCCTCTGTCCACGTTTGTCCCTTATTTTCCTTATCAGACAGGGTAGAGAAGTCTGAGATTTCTCATTTTGACAGCAGTACATACCCGAACTTTGGCAGTGGTGGTCAGAGGTGTGTATGCTGCTGACTCCATTATTTCTCTTTTTTCTTGCTGTGCCTCTGGTCCAATTAACACATTAAAATTGGTGGTGAGGTGGCGGCGCAGGAGGGTCTTTTGAGGTGGGATGTTCAGGAGCATGGCCAGCGCGTCCCCGTTGAAGCGAGGTTCGAGAATCTATTAAAAAGGCAGCATGTTTATTTTTTTATATGGTTAAATATTTGCAGTAGTAAACCATTCCAGTGCTTATCAGAGGATTTCTCACTCTTACTAAGCCATCTGTCCACATTAGAACTTTTATAGCTCACTCATGATATGATACCAAGGGTTTGAATGGGAAATACATGAAAGGAGCAATAAGAAATGCTGAACGTGATCAGGCAAATATGCATTTGTATTTATAATTTTTTGTTTGTTTTCAGAATTTTCTGCCCTAGTCAGAGTATAAACTTAATCCTAGTACAGTTTCTTCTGTTTCATTTTGGCAAAAATTCTATAGCAGTAAATCATGGTATTTCAGAACTCTGACTTTACTTAGCTGCAAATAGTTCTAAATTATTTGAATTGAAAAAAATGTCATTCCCAGATGCTGGCAAGACTGCTGTGAGTTCAGGATGGTTATTTACCATGGCTCAGAATTCTGGTAAAACCACTCAAATAAACACTCCATGATGCCTTATCAATAATAAGTAACTTTCTCAAGGTACAGTTCAGGTTTTTTTATGTACGGCTGTCAAACACTTGTGCACACTCAGCTTTGACTATAAAAAATGTTCTAGCAGTGCCTTTAATATTTTAGTTTTCCTTTGAAAAATTAAGATGCATGGATCAGATAAAGAGGCTCCTTAGAAGGCCTGATCACAGATGCATTTGTTTCCTCCTGCTTGACAAATATCAGATAAAAGATGTTTTATATTCCAGCCTGTCAGTTTTTAGTAGATAGGTAGTAAAATGCTAAATTCTTACAATCAGGCCCCCGTGCACTCCGCTCCCTCGAAGGTTTGGTGCATATTCTGCCAGATCCACTGATCTGAGCCATTCCATCACTCGGTGGTTGGACCACTGAACCACATCAGAAGGTGACACGTTCTGTTGAAGGAACCAGGAAAGGTGATGACACAACAGCCTGTGTTGTCTGAATGTGCACGATGCGCATCCTCAGTTCAGATAAAAACACCCTTCCTCCTCTTCCCTGCAGTTCTTCCCTGACTGAGGTATTGTTGTTGTTCAAGGCCTCTTTCAGCAGGTTGGCAGGTCTAATTTAGTACAGATGAAACCCCATCAATTGCATCAAGTAGTGTAACAGTACAGATTATAGGTATAAAAAGGGACCGTTTTGTGAACAGTGTTATTGACACTTAATTCTAAGAGAATAAGATATGCTGATCAGGTAAGGCAAAAATCTTACAGATTTTGAGAGTTAAAAATTAGGACAGGCAAAGAAAAAACGATTATTTCCTCGGAAGTTGAATTAACCTTTAAACTATGCAAATAACTTCTAAAGAAAAATGCATGAGGTTCAACTAATAAGTAGCTCAAACTCCTAAGGAGTGCATAGATTTTTACTATCAGTGAGTACATATTACATGCCAGAGCTGGAAGGCAGCATGACTGCTGCTTTAGGGGCAATTCCCTAGTAGCAATGATTCTGTTAGCATTGTACACTGCTAACTTTCTATCCCTTTTGGCTGGAATCAGGTACTTAGGGCTTGCTTAAATTAATTTATTTGGACATTCTTTTACCTCCTCAACCGGTCTCCTGCGTAGGCAGTGGGGGTTAAAATTGTTGACATGCAGCACGTGAATGGCACATTTAATGCTCAGATGATGCAGCTGACTGGTGACTTTCAGAAAGAGAAGGTCGTTCTGTGAAAGAGAGAGCCTTTTATGTGGCACAGAAAACACATCAAAACAGGTACTTTCCCCATGAAGAAAGATTTTAAACTTGCTGCGTAGTTTGAAATAAATCACAGAAAGTGTGGATTAGGTAAAATGAAAGTTTGGACTCTAAAGAAGGGATTTAGGGTGAAGGTTTTTTTTTGGGGGGGGGGGGATGTTCCATTGTTGATTTTTTTAACACACTGCACTATAACAAGACCTGGCTAAAAAAATGAAGACTGGTAATGTAGCCTATTAAGTCAAATCCAGGTTCAAAGATAGTTTTAAAATATTTGGACTGCTTCTGACCTGGCTAACATCCTGCTGTGGGTAGGATCATCACAGCTACCAACACACACCTAACCATGGAGCAGTAGGGACTGTGCTCCTATAATAAGGGCTCCTTAAGCAGCTGTACTTTTGATAACAGCTATTTTAGGCATTCCTTTCATAGCACAGTTAACAAAAAAACCCCAAACCACAAAAACTTAACTATGCAGACCTGGGCAGGGCAGTGGGAAGAAAGCACTGTGGCTGTACGTGGTACATGGTGTGCTGTGAATGTGGTTGGAGTTGTACAGATCACTGCATTTGCTGCTTTTAGTTTACTGAATGTTGTTTCTAATTTGGTGTGGAGAACAATGTGCTCCAGAAGTTACATGTGAAACAGCTCATTTTGCCTTTAATCATGGTGTGATAGTGAAAGAAGCTGGCTGTAACATATGACTTATGTACCTTAGCAGTAGTAAACATGCACTAGGCAGCACAAATTTCTGACTCACAAAAATTCTTTAGGTGCTCACATTCAAAGGGAAATTGTACAATTTTTCGCTCATTATGAAGTTAAATTTGGTTTAACTGAGGAAAAAAGGATTGTAGCTTACCACAGTTAAGTACTGCAACATCCTCCCATCAACTCTGGATTCATGAAACTGGTCTTTGTACTGAGGTAAGCCAATGTCATCGAGCCATCCTGCAGGTATGAGAGCAATATCCAGATCAGTGAGAACAAAACCCTTCTCTCCCCTTTTGTCTGGCCTGGCTCCTTTCAAGGCATTCAGGCAGCTCATCCAACCTATTCCCCTTTCCAAACGACAGCCTCTTGCTAGTAACCTGAAAGCAATTCCCACCAAACAACTTTGTCCATACTACCCCTGTGGTACTTGACATACAGCATGTGATGGAGCACATGCCTTCTGCAGCTTAATGTAGCTCTTGCTGGATTGAGCATCCCCATTTACTTCCCAGCAATCTGACAGACTTCCCCGTGGGAGATCGTACTGTGAGCTGTATATTTGGATGTCAAGAAAAACATAAAAAAATCCTCAATTCTACTATGGTGAAACTTAAGTGTTTTTAAAAGATATTTGGTAACTGCTTAAACACGTATCAGGCATCCCGTTCATAGCGGTGGGGAAAATTCCTTTCCAAACAATTCCAGGAGAGTTCAAACACTTACGTGTCACCCAGATATGATCAAGTTGTGCAGACTTCTCATCCTGTTTTGCATTTATTGACTTAATGGCCAAAACTAATTTCTTCCTGTGCAGTGGATGCTTTATTCCCATTTCCTGCAAAAATTAACCATTATATCAAAGATTTTGCCTCACCTCTGGCTCTTTTGATCGCTGAGGCAGCTACAAAAATTGATACTATGCACTTCAGAAAGGCAGAACTGCCAAGGGTTTGAAGGGGCCTGGTTATACAGAACCAACAGGTGTGGCTGTTTGAGAGAAACAGGGACAGGAAACGTACCTTTTCCATGTCCTGGGGTGTGGCAGTTAACAGCGTGTGGCCCGACGTCACCCACTGCCGTGCAAAAATGACGTACTGGCCGAGACCAAAGTCCTCAAGCCAGTTACAAACTCTCTCAGTGCTCCACTGAGCAAACGGAGCGTTGTAGTCACTGAAAAGTACAAAAAACATTGGGAAAATCTTAAAGAAAAGAATGAATGTTTTGCATTGGAAAAATCTTAAAGAAAAGAATGAATTTTTGCATTGGAAAGCTCATCATGTGCCAGAGGCAGCACAGCAGCAAATCTGTCAGTGTGCTGTGCCCTATGCAGCAAGAAAAGCCAACAGCCCCTCTGGCTGTGGTACCAGTGTCCTGTTAATTTGCCTGCCCAGCCACAACCGGTGAGGAGTTGAGGGTGTGGACAGGAATTTCCCATTTTCTATTTGAAAAGAGGAAATAGGGGAATTGCTGAATCCTCATCATTATGCAGATGTTCTCACAGGATAAAAGTCTCCTTGTTCTGTAACAAGGTGAAATTTTGGACGCTCCACCAAGGAGTGAGTGCTGCAACCTGCAGCTGGCAGGAGTGTGGACAGGGGAGCTTCTCGGGATACATTTGCTACCAGAGAAATTCTTGCCACTTGTGAAATTCCACGTGTAGTGAAAAACGCATTTCACAAGAGGAGGGTTTGGCTGTTCAGCACATTTATAACACAACCCCACGATGTGCTGTGTAAGGTGAAGAAGGAGCCATTACCTCTTCTGGCCTTTGGTGTCCTTGGAGCGGGATAACCGAGGCCCAGCCGTAGCACGAAGGCCACCTCTTCGGAACTCTGCCAACCCCAGGTCGTCTGCAGGGAAGTTACCTGACTGAGTTCTTCTTATTCTTGCAAGACAAGAGTGCCATGACAGTACTATTAGCTTGTGACAGAGGACATGGGTTTCTGTGGAAACTACAGTGACAACTAGAGGCTGTATTAACCTTCCTGTAAACCACAAATGCCGAATTCCAGTGGTAGCTGAGAAATTTCTAGCAAATGCAGTCTAGACTTAATCCTGGGGGAAAAAAAGAGCTCCACAGAGCAGCCATAACACTTCAGTCCAATTAATAATCCAGACTTGGAAATGGCTGATGTTTCTGAAGTGGCTCAAGTGAGCACAGCACAACTCAGTCCCCCTGCTTTTTGTTCCTCCTGTTTTCTCTCATTTTTTTACCTGATGCCTTCTGTAATGAACAACCTGCTATCATTTAATTTTTCATGGCTAATGAAACTGCTGGCATGCTAAATTAATAGCATTAAGATGACAGCAGTGTCATATTTCTTTCACCAGCATGACGCTGGGAACACTCCCATCCATTTTTCTACACCCCTGTGTACACAGAGACACACCCGTGCAATCCCAGAGCTGCTTCCTCTCCTTTTCCTGAATTTTAGTTTATTCTTGATATAGATAATTGTAGCTTTTGCTCAGAATTGGATTAATTCTCAGCTGAAATGCTTTGAGAGTGAATTAAAAAAATGACCTTACTTTCCCCAGATTTTCTTGATCCCTTTTGGACTCTTTCTGTTTTCTGGAGACCATGGAGACTGCGGACTTGGATCCGTTCCCGAAGAAAGAGGTGAAAGGTCATCTGAGACTACTGTACCATCCATGTTCTCTGTTTCTCCTGGGTTAAGAGCAGCATTACAGTCACATTTTATACTAATTATTGGTAAAGTTTTTGTCTGGGAGACTGATATTTTAATGCAGACCATAATAAAAAAGTACAGATACCTGTAAAATTGTTCTTGTATCAAAAAAACCCAAAACATGCTCAGAAGGTGAAAAAAACAGTAGTTGTAAATTTGATACAAAAAAAGAAAATAATAAAACATGGGTAAAATAGTATTGTTATTTTGGTCATTTGTATTTAACTCCATTATTTTAATTCATTTAAGTTCTTCAGACTTTTGCCTTGCCTGATGCTTAATACCACAACTCCTCCATCACAGTCAGTGGGAAGTTTTCTGACTTCAGTGAAAACAGAATGAAACCAGGAAAAAGTGTCTTAAAAAGAAATCCCATCTGAATGCCAATACAGCAAAAGCTGTTACTTCATTTCAGTACTGCACATAAGGAATTCAGACTGGATGACCCACTGGGTGTTAGCATTTCATAGAGAAAGGGAGGGGGGAAAAAAGAAAGAAAAAAAAGTAAGCAGCAAAACTGGTGTTAAAGTTGCATCTTTTTTGGATACAGTACCTAGCACTGGTGCACTGACACTCCTGATGCGATCTTCAGTCATCCCAAGAAGCAGAAAGCCAGATGAAGAAGCAAAGAAGATATAAAACACCAGCAAAATAAAGTTACAGAAGAGCAAAGTAGTAAGCTAAGCATTAAAAGCAGGAACAAAAAGAAAAGAAGCAGTTATGCTTGACATGAAAGTGAATATGCTATGGTGTGCACAAGCCCCAAGAATTCTGAATACAGATCATCCTGGATAGGGATGATCAATTATCTGTTTTGGGTTTTGTTTTGTTTTTTTAATTATTCTTTGCCAGTTTAAACACATTAAGCATATACTACAGAGCTCCACAAAGTCTGCAGAGTATCTGAAATGAAGCAATGTCTAAGATTACATTGAATTCCTCGGAATTGGAGGTGTACTGAGTTTACTGCACAAGAAACAAACCAACCTGCACAAAAAATTCTCTTAACTCAGTGTATTTAAGAAGCCATTGCTTGTTTCTAGAAAAAGAACATTTTCCTTTACAAGCTCACCCATCCTTGGATAATCCTGCAGTTAAACACATAACAGCATGGCTCATGCCATTGCCTACAATGTTGCAATCACAGAAAAACTCTTTAAAAAAACCCCTAAACTACCACATCCTATGGCAAACTACAGTACCCTGGAAGCTTTTAGGACCATAAGGCCTTAAAATAAACCAACCCCCACCAAATTAAAAAAAGCCAGCCAAACAAAAAAAACCCACATGACTTTTAAACTGTAGAAACACCTCAGAATCACAAGGGATACTCTCATGCCTGAGCTTCCCAAGCCCTTTAGTCCTTGGGAAATACCTGGTTCTGTGCCTCACTGTAACACTTCTTGTCAATAAATCTGTGCCTAAGGTGTCACTGAAAAAAAATTATTACAGGCTTCCACAGGACTGTGGTTGTGGAATAACAATACATTTGTAGTACCAAAATCCATGGGTGTTTTTCTGCATTTAGCAAGTTAAATTTTCACTTGTGGGTCCCCACAAGCTACAGCAACTGACAGTGCTGGATACAAGGATTTTTCTTTGAAATGTGCATGTTAGTGCTAGTTGTACTGTGAAGTTTCACCCACTAAAATGCAGTGGGGATGGCGAGGAAAGGGTTTGTTTGTTTTTTTTAACACCCCAAACTAGTGTGCATTTTTAAAAGCATTGATGATGTACTTGGCTGTGCATTTTTGTTTGCTTGCCTTTTTTTTTTTTTTTAAGAGAACAGATAAACAAGCTCAAGCACTGGAAGCATGTTTGGAAAAAATACTTCTTGTTCATACTGTGAATATATATGTCTGTTTCTCTAAAAGTTGTGATTTTTAATCAGAGATTTGTTGACTTTCAGAAGGCTCCATCCAGTGTCCAAAACTCTGTCTCTTCATTACTTAAGCTGTCAATGATTTCAGCAAACTGTGCTGTCAAGTGCAACAGAACTCTCCAACTTAAAGCCATCCTTTACTCCCCAGTGAGCTAATTTTTGGTACGTTGCTTAAAAAAACCCCAGCGCTCTAACTGAATCATGTGAACAACACCATTGTTCTGGCATAGCAGATTATATCCCATGCTCTGTCCCAATCCCTCAAACAGTTTGCTTTCTCCCCTCCCCATAACCCTCTCAGAGAGCTGTGGGTACATACTCAGGCCCGGGACGCCGTTTTCCTCGCTCATCCCACATCCATCCGGAGAGTGATACGTTCCCTGCTCTCCATTCTGCAAGGGTCGGGGCATCTTTCCTGGCAAAGTTTGGTACTTGCTGCCCTTCACAACTGGCTTACTCTTTGTTTTTTCAAAAGAGGAAAAAATAAAACAAATAAATAAAATAAGTAAAATAATAAAATAAAAAAATCGTATCACTTGCAGCATTTGCAACCCAGTGCACAACGATTTCAAAGCTGGGGAAAAGTGCTTGAAGTTCACGGTTCAAAATGGCTCCACTCCCTCCCTGTTCCTGCTTACAGATAACTCAATCTAAACCCAACAGTCAGCTGACAGTTTTCTAGCTAAGACACAGTCTTGTCTTCCCTCATCTGCTCTGCCCACTCTGGCCAGACTCTATATTACATTAAAATTCATGTTGAATATTACCTGTTTTTGTTGTAAGAACTTTTCTAACTGTCTTCTCCTTTAGACCTCAGCACTATATAATTACTTGGTCCTTACAAAGGTCAACTTTGATAGTGCCAAAAATGCATTTGGTTACTTCTCAGACTGTTTTATTATTCTGCCAATTTTTCCCCCCTTATTTTTCACCAGACTGTCTCTGTTTCTGCCTCACAATTTTATCTTGCTGGAATTTGAACCAAAAGTATTTATACACCTCAAATTTTCTCAAACATATTTCCCACCACCATTAATAACAGTAAAGGAATCAACAGCAAAGTCAGGGTACAGAAATTTAACGTTTGCAAGGACTGAGATCCCTTTCACAGACAAAATTACAAATGCAAGGTTTTTTTTAAAAAAAATAATTACAGCTAAACATATAGTTGCCAAATATACAAATATAGTATCATTGCCATTCTGTTACAGAACCTAAGCACAAGGTATACTTTTGATAGATGCTGGGAAAAAAAAAAGCATAGACTGAACTGTATTTTAGGGCTGACCCCACAAGTTTTGTCCACATCAAGCTAAAATAAGGGTCTAAGCTTTGCTCTCCTGCACACATTCAGTGTCAGAGGCATCACAGCCCCCAAGCAGTGGTCCCCAAAATCTCACTGTATTGTACTGAAAGGGAAGTGGTACCTAGGCTTTGCTAAAAATAGAATATCTCTTAATTTTCCTTGCAGTCAAGTGATCATCTCACTTGGGGATCTTGCTCCTTGTACAAGGGTAGATGAGAAGGTGCCTAAATAAATCTGATAGTTTTGAGCCTAAGAAGATACTTCTCCAGGCAAAGAACATGTGTTTTGGAAATACAGTGTTGAGACTTCTTGAGGCTCCATATGAAAAGATGGATGAGCCACCACTCTGGGAAAAATGTATATCCCAAAACTGTCAAAACAGGGAAACAGAGATGCTTTTTGAGAAAATCTGCAACTCCAATTGACATTAGTGGGAGTGGTGTACATTAAACATGTGTTTTGGAATAAACTGGTCAATGTTTCAATCACAGAACGGAGGTTTTGTAGGAAAACTTTATACTGAAAACATGCAAACCATATTTAGTATACAGGAACATACAGTATGCTACTATTTAGTAACCCATTCTAACAAAATTGTTTTAAAACACTGTCTGGGACAGGATGAGGCATTAAATATTTAATGAGATAAGCACTGCTTTAATCTATTCTTATTTCAAGGCCTAGAGGGATCTTTGGATACTGCAACTGCAGGCCAGATTGCTCAGTTCCTCAACTCCTGCTCCTTTTTTGGCAGCTGCAGGAGTACATCCCAACTTGTACCAAAATTTGTATGAGTAGAAAAATTGCTTCTTACATCAGCACTGTATTTCCTGAAACCGACTGACTTTAGCTTCTAACCTCATGTAACAAATTTTAGATTAAAAAAAAAAAATAAAAAATTCCTTCTCAAATTTTTACCCTTGTTCTCAGAGTTTGTCAGCACTGGAACTATGCAAACATTTTAAAAAATGAGAATGAACATAAAAAGAAAACCCAGCCATACTATCACAGCACATCACAACAGAGAATTGTTAGGAAAGGTTGCAGTTAATATACCTCTTGTTCTACAACAGGCTGTGCTGGTTTTCCATCTACATACTACGGAGTTTCAGGGAGGGCAATTTCAAAGTTTTATGGAAAAAAAGCAACAGACAAATGTTAGTATTAACATACATACGTAGAACATCAATTGTAGTCTTATCACTATAGTGATGGTGCTTAATGTATGGACAATATATTACAAGGACTGTTATCTTTTCATTTAATTTCAATCCAATATTCAATACCAATTGTGTTTGCTCATTCTCCACTCTACAAAATTTGGGCCCTGTCTAGGTTCTGCTGTGATCAAAGGAATTTTGCTGTTTTCAGGCTTCTGGGTGGTCCCTTTAGACTTACTTTAAGCTGGGAACATAACAGCTGTTTTAAAGTTAGAGCAGTATGAAAATGACTGACATAAAATAACATACACAATACTGTATGTACCCAGCTGAAATCATAAAGAGCTGTGGTAAGAAGTGAAGTGATAAAAATACCAGCATGGCTAGGTCAGGGACACCAGTGTGGCTTGCTATTTTTTTATTATTATTGTTGCTGGAAGGAAATGGAATTTGAGCTTTATGCAAAGCAGAAGAGCTCCAGTAAACAATACTGCTAGCACAGGTTCTCTTGGAATTAATGCAAAAAGCAGTCTGTCGTGCTGGGTGAGCAAAACAAGTTTCTTGTAACATTAACATTTAGCCACTCACTCATATGCACAGGGAGGTCTCTTGTCACCAAGAGGCCTCGTGCCTAAATTAGGGCACACAATTTAAATGCCTTGCTGAACATGGGGCTGGCTTGCTACAACTCTCTCATATCCTTGGTGGGTTTTCCTTTCTCCATGGGCTCTGATTTCACGGACAGAGCAAATTTACAGCATAAACGTGTAGGTGCAGCCTATTCACAGCATAACACAGAGAAAAATTAAGATTTTTGAATTGAAGTTATGAAAAGAAAACAGACCTTCATAAGCTCTTTGTGGAATGAAACGTTAGTTCTGATTTGTCACGTGTGTATATGATCACAATCGAATGAGTGCAACACAAATTTCACATATTCCAATTGTTCACTGTCATCTTCAGTGATTTAAGAAAAATTTTTAAAAAATTTAAGCACTGGAGCAATCACATTACCAGAATCTGTTTTAAATTACATTACTGGGTGTAAGTAACCTAGTATTAAGCCTAATTTGAGTACAGAAAGCATCAACAACAGTCTCACAAAGCATAATTACAAGTGCAGAACAATGCCAGTACATAATGACAAAACAAGACTCTGGACCACAATGTAACGAGACTTTGCAAATTGGGAAGTCTTTATTCTGGAATGGAATTAAAGTCTTTGAAGTAATAACAGTGCTCCTGCTGTTTTAACTAAGGCAGCATCACTGCCATCTTCAGAAATGCCATTTATATCAGAAGTCTAAGGGAGCAACACTCATAGTTACACGCAAACACTTAAAAAGGAATCCTACGTGGAAGTGCCCGTTTCCACATTTGACTACTTTCAGGATTTGTTGCCTTAACACTTTTAGTGATTTGGAAGTAAAAATTATTTTAAACACACCTATAAAAAAATAATACTGCAGTTTTATCATCAGGGCTTTTTCCCCATATACAATGTCAGCAGTGGTTAAAGTTACTTAATGTGAAATAAAACAAATATTTATACTTGACCTTTGTCTTTTAGTTGTGATATTAAAGACCAGAAACTGTGATTACAAATAAACCAACCTTTTCCAGGGATTCACTCTGCAAGTCTTCTAAACTACTTGACTTTTTTTTTTGTGGAACCCTTAAAAAAGTGACAGGGGAAAAAAGCAGCAGTTAATACCACATAGTATATTTATATATGCCGCAGGTGCCTCCTATGACAGCTGTACAGATCACACTTTGTTACATTTGCATGTAACAAATAATTCAGAATTGAGAGATTATTTTTAGTCTAAAAATCATAGTATTAGAAACTGCAGTAGATGAAGTCAGGAACAGCAACAAGACATCCTCTGATCAGCAATGAAAGGCAACAAGGCCCAGTGTGCAGCTTTAAACCTTGTACCTACACATGACTTTTTGGAAGCTCTTAACAAGCAAAAGTACAGGGCAATAACTCCCTGTGAGCAATGTGGACACATTAAGGGATTTTAAAAAGGAAAAATGTTTCACATTTCAAAGTTACTTGTTCTTACCTATTTATGATTTCCAAAGATTCTTCTTGTGGAGAGGTCATATTAGTCGAAGATACTGGAATGCTTCCACTTTAAATACAAATAAATGTCATAGCTTTAAGTACTGCAGTACATATATCTTCTGATATACAAAAGTGCTGATTTATTCATGTAATTCAAACCTTACAGAACTAAGCATCGCAAACCTCCCTGGCAAACACTGCTTTCACAAGTACCCAAAAGTACAGCAAAGCCAAGAACAGTCAAGACAAGATACCAACAGTTAAACAGCCTAAATAATACAGATTTAGGACAACCCACACGAAACACGAGAATGAAAGGTCTTGCCTGATTTCCATAGCTTTGTGTGGCACTGGAGGGAGCACAGCTTGTGACAATTCTCCTGAAGAGGCCTTTGTAAAAGACAAGAGTTTCAAGCCTGTAATTCTGGTGTCTGATGCTGAATCTACCATGCCCAATATCAGGAAGTACAAAAATTCAGCCAGGGTCAAACCCTCATCTACATTACTACAGAGAAGCCAACACCAAAAAAATCATATATACGGCAGAACTCGCTTCTAAAAACATCTTTACTAAGTACCTCTGTTTTCAGTAATTCTCCTTGAGAATTATTCAAAAGGTTCCATTTCCTTAAAGTTATCTCAAGTTCCTCTTCACTGCCACCAGAGACAGAAGAGCCTGTGAGCATTAAAGAGTAGAGGTAGAAAGGGAGAGAAACAGGCAAAAAAAAAGACATTTAGGCCCATATCAGACAGTCTAAATTCTTCAGTCTCCAAATTCCCCTTCAGTCTTTCTTTGTAATTTACACCACCCTCTCTGCTCCCCACCCCTCCTCTGGGCTCTGATTTACCAGAAAAATGATTTATATTAGAGCAGCAAATTTATCACTTTCAGTTGCATGCTTTGCTCTACTGTGAGCAGCTGAGCTGCTCATCAGGCAGCTTCTGAACCATTTGTAATTCAGATTTTGATGTTCTGGGCCAAGTTGAAGTTGGTACCATTTTCTTACTCGCCATGGATCACAGTGTGGACAATCTCACTGTGCACTGTAGGTCCTACACAGGCTTGTGGTACCAACTCAATAATCCAGAGCACCATGGATTGTTCGTGTACTTGACTCTTGTGTGTTAAATACAAGTTTCCATTCTGCTATAGAAGGCCTGAAAATATGTTTGTTAATGTGATGATGTGTGCTGAACAAAACTGTCCTTTCAGAAGGTCAAGTTTCCCAGACTAGATTCAGTACTGGAAAGTATGGTGGCAGCTTAAAATGAGATTGTCCTAACCCCCACTCTGCTTCCTGCAGCGTAACTGAGAAATGGGACAAAGATCTTTCCGTAGATTTTAAAGTAAAATATATAAATATTGTGTGCACCAAAGCAACCGTGGGTTTTCAGTTGTTCCTTCCAAAAAGAACTTGCCTAGTCAGCTGTCAGGATTTTTTTTTTAGTGGAAGGGAAGGACAACAGAACTTACTAGATTTATTGTAAGTCCTTTTAGCAAAAAAGAATAAAAGTCCTCCCTCCTAACAGTATCGAATTGCACCTGAGATCAGCTTTCCTTTTATGAATGCCATATAAAAAACATGACATAAAACATTACCACTAGCTCCCTGGCAGCTGAGCATTACTGCCATTCCTGAACTGAACTGCAGTGTAGGAAATCTGAATATAGGATGTATTTAATCAATTAATGTTCATAAAGGTCTCCTGGTATCATTTCACACTGTAAAAACTGGCTACTCATAACATAATGATCACAGGAAACACCACATAAACTTAATACCTATCTGTATACCTTATTCATCTCCTACAGATGAATTAGTTTAAATCATATAATGTCATTTTAATTTGAGTAATAGATTTTTTGAGAGTGATATAATGCCTTTTCAAACTACAGGCAATAGCACAAGTCTGGTCAAGACATACTGTGGTTCTCTCTGTGTCTGAAAAAGTATATATTTACTCTCATAGCACTCCAACGTGACACAAAGGCATGCATAATAAAATATATATTACTATACACATGTATTTAAAAGGACAGTAAATAGCAGTTGTAGCGCATGCAGTTTTTAAAAGACCTGATATCAGGAAATAATTCACAAAATGTTTTACCATGAGCTGCAATCATGATGTCTTTGACCCTCCTGTATTGGCTTAGCAACAGTGTCAGCTCCTCTATTCGACGGTCCTGCAAAAAAACATTAAACAAGATCACAGTTAAATTCCTACATTTTTAACCTGCAGAAATGCTGGACTACATTTCTGTGATTTTCATGCAAGTAGGATCAAGTCTGTCCCATGCCTTGTAAGGAATGCTTCTTGGCTTTTATTCGTCATTGTACATAGTATTTGCTAGACGGTGTGAAATTATGGATGTAAGGAAACAGGAGGAGCCTTATGTTACTAGTAAATTAGTTATTTAGAGAAGCATAATTTGGAAATCTGCTTTCACTTCTAAGAGTGATGGTAATATTCTGGAGTTGAACCTCAATTGCCTGAAGTGGGCAGTGTTTTACCATACCTGTCATCATAAAGTGAATCATGTTTATGTTTTGTATAGTTTAACAATCTAGTCATGCTCTTTAATCCTGTGTGTAGGATGTTCTCCATTCTGACAGCTGCACTTACTCCAGTTTTGAACACACCTGTTTGAAGCCCAGGCAGTCAAACCCACATAGGACCAAAGAAATGAGGCCTTGTGAATGTCTGATGCATTTTCTGACTCCACTCCTTCTCCAGTACCTAATGCTTTCCTATTACATGCAGAAAGCATCGTGATCCACGTATTCAGGGAGGGCACTTGCCTTTTCCACTCTCACAGTTTGTCCTGTTTTTCTTTAACCCCAGTTCTAAACCATTCCTCTGCGATAATCCTGCCCAGTGCTGTGACTACAGAGCACTGAATACAAACCCAAGCAAGAATAAAGAACTAGTTTTCACAAGCAGGTGTCAGCCACAGAAACAAAGAGGTGGGCACTGGAAAAAGAAAAATTTTCCAAGGAAGTTGACAAGTATTTAAGGAATTATCTGACACCGAGCTGCTGCCCTGCCACAGCTGTGTCAATGTCAGAGGTATTTCAATTAAAATCTGCTCTGGCACACGTGTGCTATATTACAGCCACAGCAGATACCCACCAAGGTGGAGGAGTAACTGCACAGAAACCAGATCTTTACCACTTTACAAAACAGCAGATGATGCTGATCCTCCCTTCACCCTCAGCAAAGTATAACATGAGGAAGAGGAGGCCTAAACCAGATACCCCGTTATCCCAGCCATGGATGGAAGCAGCAGGTTCCCATTCATAGCAAAGACCTGAGACTAACATACCTAGTTTTTAAAAAACAGAAATACATGCACCACTTACTGCGAACTTAGTTCAGCCCTTTCTGTCCTAAGTGACACAGGGAATATTTATTCTGAGGTCCTTTCCCTCAGGAAGAATACTTCATTTTGCAATATTATTGAAGGTAACAGTTCTGCATGAAACACTTCAGAAGCCGTGGGTCAACCATCAGTCCACTAGTTTAAATACTACAGTTTTCAAGGAAATAACCTGCCTTCTTCTGTGAGTACATCCAGATATTAGGACATAAACAACAATATTTTGTGTTCCCTTCATATACAAAAACACCCCATGCAGACTTGGAATAATTTTGTCAAGAGATAATGACACATCTTTTATTTTCCAGATGTAAATTTTGGCTTTTTAAGCGTTTTTGAGAACTAAATATTGTTATGAACCACATTAATGTTCTCCAGAATTAATGTTGTCCTGTTCGGATTACCCACTTACTAAAGGAAGATTTTAGGGATGCATGTCATTGTTTATTTGATTGTAGAGGAGAGTGTCACCATAAAGGAAAATCTTATGGCTTGATTTATTATCATAAAAACCACAATCTGCTGAAGAATGAATCCCCCATTTAAATAGATTTAATTCCACTCCTTCTCCTTTAGTGCTCTTTTTTTTTTACTTCCTCTTATTTATTTACATCCTGTTCCCTTTCTCCCCAAATCTGAGTCTGCATCAGAGGCCACTTTGACTTCCTTTTAATATCACAATCTAAATTGGGTTTAGATGCATTTTGGGTTAGGTTGAAAGACAAAGAGCTGCCAGAGATGAGCAAACCTTAGGGATCTTTTCAGTAGCAGAAAACAGGAGATTTTGCTCATTACAGCCTTGTCTTTGTCCTCTCCTCTGGAATGTAATGACCCTCCCAAATTCTTCAGCCAGGTAAGCAAATCAGCCACACTTTCTCTTTAAACATCAGTCTTCTGTCACAACCTCACAGGATAATACAAACATCCTAACAACACCACTCTTACAGAAAGTGTGTTTTCAGAACGTTTCAGAGATTCAAACCCACAACTTCATTCTTACTGTGTAGAGTGAGGATTTTTTTTCTCACCTTTTCTTCATTTGCAGCCAATAACGATTCCATTCCTATCTTCAGTCGCTGAACTTCTTGATCTAAAAATGTTTTTAAAATGTTATAAGAAAAAACCCACTTGCTATATTTAGTGTAAATATATATTTTGTGATACTCTCCCTATGTTCTTATAACTAACCAAAACCATATCAGTGGCAGGGCCAATGCACTATTAAACTACATTTAACTTAGAATTTTTCAAAAGCTGAACTATTTAAAGCATTGCACAACACAAACATCCTGGTTTTGCTTATAAAAGGCTCCATAATACTATTTTAAACTATGAAAGTAAAGCACTGGGAAAAAAAGGAAACACTGAAGCTCATTTTGCAAAAGATTAGAGCGTGTTTGCTGTTATGTACTTAAGGAAATAATTTTAAGTGGGATTGAAAATGAGTTATGTTGCATCTGAGAAAAATATTTGGCAGTTTATGAGAAGTAGTTCAAGGACATTCATGGAACTTGGAAATGAAAAATAACAAAAAATTGGTTTGATACAAGGAAAATCTGTAGAATATTTTTTCTTAAACATTTCAGTATGAATAACTAGGTTAAAATCTACCTCATGAACTAAACAGTTGCCTCACACAATTTAGTGTTACATGATAAAGGCAATTCAGGAATGCTATAGTCAAATCAATCAAAACACACCCTCTGAAAATGTATGAGGTTGTAAAAGCTGAACCAAATCCTAACTTTGCTGAACCAAATCTTTCATTTCTTTTCTAGGCACTATTCCTAGCAAGTCCTCCAGTACCAACCTATACAGAATCAAGTGTAAGTGATGGAGACAGAACCTGAAATATTTTTTCTGTTGTAACTACCACTCCAGGGATTCATGCTTTGACATTAAACCAGACCCACTTGTTCACAAAAGGCTATGAAAACAGATGTGTCAGATGTGAGAAAGGGGAATGAAAATCAATATTGCTAAAGAGCATCTGTAAAAAAAAAAGTTTTACAAGTAAATGTTGAACATACAATGCCATGGCTAAACTACTTGCAAAAGCTGTAATTAGTTTTTATTGCAGTGATTCTGGAAAATGCACACCTCTCAATGATTAAGTTTTAGGACATGTAAATGAACCTTGCAGACTTAATTACACAGGGCATGCACAGGCACAGCCAAATCAAAAACTAAAGTCAGCAGGCAGTGGGCAAGCAATCGAAAGACTTTTAAAAAATCACAGTCCTGCTAATTTCTCATTATAAATATTGGACTTCAAAGAGGACTGGTGTCAAGGCAGTTTGAGGCACACTAAAGCAAACTTTACTTACAATATTTTTTAACAACATCAAGTATGGAAACACTTATTCAGACTTTTTTTTTTTTAATTTACTGCACTGATTTAAGACAAAAATCCTTCCCCTCCAAGGAAGAAGACCTTCAATTAGAGCCATCTTCCCAGATATTATGTGGGCTTTACACATGTGCAAACAGAAAGAGGTAAAGGTTAAGCTTTGGCTCTGTTAACCTTGACATCTTCCCTTTGAAGTCCAACGATCTGATTTGTGAACCTCTGACTTTTACTTCTGAAGTGAAATCTCACTGAACAGGGCAAGTAGCTGTCTGCTTGCTGCAAGCAATGGAAGCAGTGCCTCATGTATATTACAATTAGACAGCCAAATCTAAACAAACATTGAATTACTGCTGCAGAATGCATCCGAGTTATAATTGGTGTGAAAAGAACAGTGAGGTAAAGCCAGAGAAGGGAATTGCAAGGCTTACGTTTTTCTTTTAGCCTTCTCCTATAAACTTCCTCTACGATGGGAAATGGTGAGAGTCAAATAAAGTATGTAGAAAAAGCACATATTAGATAAATTTTGCAATTTACTTAGAATATGCATTCTAGCATACTACAAGTACATTGACATTATTTTACAACTTTGAGAAGACCACCTAAAAATCTGATAAATTTTTACTGATAAAAGTAATTTTTTTTTTGAAGAAAAATTATTACTGTTTCCATCCAAATACAATCTAAGTGCTTTCCTTGAACACAGTCCAAAGAATCCACAGGGTTTGGTTCTTCTGTCACTGAAATCAAGGACAGTTTCACCCACCTTCAGTGTGAACAGAACAGACACACTACTAGAAGTTGAATGGTGCTGAGCTCTTGATTTATTGTCAGACCACTACCTTTCCTTTGAAATACCATAAATTATTTGGGAGCCTCTTGGGAAACAACATTCTATTAGTAGAAGAGTTCCTCTACAAACCACTGCTGTTAGACAAATGAACTTTCTAGTCAGACATGCAGTTCTCTACATGCACAAGCTCTGCAGTTGAGTGAAATCAGCACAAGTATATGTTAAGTCCCCTCCTTGGAATAAACCACAGGAGACTCTGGGTAAGCCCTGAGAAAGACGTAGCACAGCACCTGAAAATTCACATCTCAACCAGGGCAGCCTTCAGAAGCATTAGTTAACACCCACAGAAGAAGTTAGTGCAGTTCAGCTGATGCACTGTGGTAAACTACACACAAACATTCCTGCCTGGAAAAGTGTCAGTGCTGCAGAAGAACAAGGTCACTAAAACCACATTCTCATGGCCCAGCAAGGGACAGAGGCCCCAGGGAGTCGATATTTCAGAGAACTATGACATGACTGGTTGAGACCAAAGGCTAAACAAACTGGTTTATTTGCCATTGTCCTGTATGAACAGTGCAGTCTTAAAACAGAAACCTGCAATATCATAGAATCCTAGAACAGCCCAGGCTGGAAGGGACACTTAAAATCCATCTGGTCCAACCTTTCATGGGACAGGGACCCTAAAAGAGACATACTTCTGAAGAAAGGAATCAATGACTGTTTTGGGATCTTTGGACATTTAAACATTATGCTTAGCTACTACTGTGAATTTTTTTTTCCTTAAAAAATAGAAACTGTAAGATTTCTCAAAGAAATTTTCCAGGCATACACAAGAAATAAATTCCTATTGAACTACAGCGACGCTTTACAATTGCAAATAAAATACCAACAGAAAAAGTTGCAGTGCCTTGAGGATACTTATTTCAATTTGTGCTCCTTCTATATTGGATAGAATTTCACACATTAAAGGCCTCAACTGTATCAGAACACACAATGAATTTACACCATTTTCCCTCACAAAATAAAATCTCTAAGTCCATTCTTGTATCTCCTTGTATTCCTTGGAATAAATCCTCAGCCAAGCTGCTACTGAAGTGAAGCTAAAGTACGGTTTTGGATTTTTAATATTGTTTCCTCTGCTCTTACCTCTTTCTGCCACTTCGCTGTATGATGAGGTCCTAGAGAGCTGACTTTGCAGGCGTTCTATCTCTGCATCTTTGAGAGCCAATTGCTCTTGAAGCTGGGCTATCTCGGCCTGAAAGAGAGCACAACAAATTCAGAATAACATCAGCACCAATCCTCTGTGACTCTTTCCTATGAGTTAGAAGATATCCAAGTATAGCTCTTCGATTGATATCTGTTACCAACTCAGGACATTGTTACATAAACACTGTAACAACTATACATACTTATGTATAGTTTATTTATGGAGCATTATCCTGTTCCTATTACAGAAACTCCTTTGCAATTAGCTCTTGGAGAAGACAGACTTAGGAAAAGGTACCATTTTCAAGGATTCGTGTAGGTAAAGAAACTCTAGAAAGTTCTCAATGCTACAATCCTGGTCATATAATAATAATAATAATAATGACCATTATAGGCCAACTCCTGAGCTTTGCATTAAGACTACTAAAAGATAAAAAAGCATTTTTAAACAGATACTGTTGTGGTTTTTTTAATCCTAGTTACTACTTATTAGGATAACTGAGAATCTATTAATGCTGAGCTGCCTTCTCAGCAGGATAACAAAACTGTTCTTCCTCACAACAGCAAACAGGCTAGAAGGAAAGCACAGCCTGGAAAACAACCGCATACATGCAACAAAATACCAGAGTTCATTTACATTTACTGCAATTTGTGCTACCATTAGACTGGGATAGAAAAATCACACATTAAAGACCTCAACAATACAGAGGGAGAAGAATTCTGTGATTGTCCAGCTTGAAATACAGCAACTCTCATCTCTTTTTCCTATTTGTGAGAGAAACTGCCAACAGCATACTTTACTAAGTCAGCAGTTTGTTAAGATTTTCTTCAGAGGCCTTAAACCCTCCATTTATCAACATTTTGAATTTACCCAGCAAAAGCATACCAAACCTCCTTGCAGTTAAATAAAAAAGGGGGGAAAAGGAAGAAAAAAAGGAAAGAACAATGTTGAAAAAAAAGAAATCACTAATGTGACTAGTTTCTCAAAATACTACAATAAAGCAGGAAAAAATGCAAAACACCAATCAACATTATTTAAATAGGGAAAAACATGGACTAATTAACAGACAAACTTATTTTCACCAGGAAGCAAGTGTCTGGATTGCAGGACAACATCACCACTCTGCCTAAAATTCCACGTGGAGTAGAAGAATCTGCCTTGTTACATCTCTGAAGGGTTCCTACACTTCCCAGTGACTAATATGCTTTTTATATCTAGCAATGGAAATATTCCAATTTCTCATCTAAGAAGCTGGAACAGGAAGACAAAAGTTTGCAGACCTCCTAATACCAGATTTGGATGTGCCTCCCCAGTCTATTTGATCTTTTAAATGCCCTCTTTTCCTTTAATGTCTCATTCCTGTCCTCTCTCTGATTATTTTTCTGTTTCCTTTCTCTTTCCTTGTACTTTTCTTCCTTTCCAGTCCTGCATCTTCTCTCACTCAATGAGTTTTTTGATTCTTCTTTCTTATTTTCAATCCGCTCCTACACTTTCCATAATCTTTATCTGTCTTGGCAGCTGGCCACACACTGCTTGAGAAAATATTTTCCCAAAGCCTGTTCATATCCACCACGTCAGAGAAAACATTTTCATGGATAGAAGAGCTATTATTTTAATAGGAAAAAAAGTCACGATAGCAACATTTCATTATTCATCCAAGAATTCTCAAAAGAAAGAAATGCTTATACAAATAGTAGCTGTTTGTCATGTCTGGATCAAGCTATCAAGTATTAAAAAGAAAACTCAGTTTAATAATTTGAAATGTTTCTCCAAGATCCAACCACAACTCAATTCATATGAACAGGGATTATAGGATTATAGGAGTGAAAAGAGATGAGATTATAGCACCAAAGTGCACCTCAATGAGGAAAAATACTAAGGTGTTTTTTAATCTAGTGGAAAAGGGCTTAAAAATTCAAACTAGAAATAACGGTGAGAATTTCAACTAGAAAAATTAATTACTAGGGGAAAATGATGAAATGTTTCAAATGTTGAGCTTCTCCAGATTACGATCCAAAAGCTTTCCAGGATTTAAGGTCAACAGAAGGGTAAGGCAGCCATGCACTTTGATATACACAGAGTCAAAGCAGATGATCTAATGGTGTATTTTGGGCTTAATGTCTATGAAAATAAATTCCATAGTAAGCAAACACCCAACAAACTTTGCATGTCTCTTCCCTTCAGGCTGGAAAGTATATTCCACAGAGCCTTGTCACCACTACACAAATAAAAGAAAGAAAACCTTCAAAGAGGCTTTTACTCAGACCAGATCTTTGTAAGTCAAAATGCCTTTCTTGGTTTCTTAAAATAAGAATTACAAAAAGGTAGGAGACTCGAAATTGCACTGGAGGGAGCAAAAGGCACAAAAAACCCCCCTACAAAACCTTCAACCCAAAATACTTATTCCAAAGATGGTTAGAGAAAATTTGACTGTCTAGTAGACCCTGACACAATGTAAATGTAAGGACAGTAAATACTGACAGAAGTAGAGCACATTCCTTTTCCAGCTAAAATAAGTCTGTTGTTAGAAAATGCTTATTCTGCTTACTTTAGTTGCTTTTAATTTCCACTCGTATTGATTTCTTTCATTTTCCAGCTCTTCCACTTTAATTTTGAGGTGCCTAAGTTCCTGTAGCAAACCCTGCAAAGGAAGAACAGCAGCTAAAAGTAAGGTTTCTCTGGCAGATATTAATTCTTCATAGTCCTGAATTAAAGATCATGCATGAAACACACAGTAAATGGACACTGAACCACCACACTAAAAACTGTGACCAGTCTAAGAAGTTGTCCCTTAAATGTCCCTTCTCCCTTTCCTTTATATCTTATTGTTCATTCTGAAGGACAATATTATTAAATCCTTGATGGAGCTCTGACAAGACAAAAAGTCTTAGAATGAACTGAGGAAAAGAAAAATTTGGAGGCAACCCAATTTTGGAATTCCTGTGTAGCACACATATTAAACATACACATTAATATATTGGAGTACAATAAAATTTATTTTGAATGACTCCCAGATTTGACTCTCAGATTATTTCTCCAATCTGCAGTTTATCCTGTAGTCTGTTAGTCCATTCAGCAGGTCTGCACAAAGGCAAGCTCAGAAACAACAGCCCTATTTTCAAAATAGGTGTCATACTGAAAATAGTTATTTTTGTAATATAAACCTATAAGAGAAATTAGTGAAAAACTGCCTCACAATACAAGCAGATTACTTATAAAATGAGTTCTGGTGATTCAAATTTTAAGTAACTAAATTTTAAAGGCAACTAAAGCAATCTGATTTAAAAATAAATATTAAAATGGTCTTTTCCAGGCATACCAGTGTCATTCCACCTTCAGTGAATTTAAGGATTGTATACGCAAAGTAGCTTTTGTTTTGACATGTGACATATTTTGATCAAATACAACCAGAATCTGTCATGTAAATTCAACAATGCTTTTCTGGTAACTGCTAATGTCAGGGGTTTAAAAAAAAAAAAAAAAGGTGTTGGATTCGCTATTTTAAAAGTACAAGCAGATTATTTTTACTATGGTTCTTTTAACTCACTTTATCATTAGGAAAAGAAAGGATACGTGTCAGATAGTCTTAGCTGAAGCCATTTTATACTTGTGTTAAGCTTTTAAGATATTCAGGATTCAATAATCTGTGTTCAGAGGACTGGTGAGGGTGCACCATCAAGCACAGCTGGGGTGACATCACCATGAGGAAAAGTAGCAAACTACCAAACCATGCTGGCATGCTGCAAATCAGACAAATCCCAACCTGAAAATCAAAAAAAACCAAAAAACAAACCCAACCCACACAAGCACTACAGACTTACAAGTAAAATGGAAACTAAAGAAAAACCTGAAAGGGGTGATTGGGTCTTACAGGTATCTGTGTTTTAGCAGACAGCCATCAACAGTGACCAAATTTGTCCTGATAATCAGGGGTGGGGACTTTTTTTTCTGGTAATTTTTATGACACTCTCACTCTTTGCTAATGAAAGTCGCAAAGATTAATGCCAAACATTCACAGCATAGCTCTGGTTAGTGGGATTTAGTTTGTGCAAGAGAAGAGAAGAGGCAATACACAGGCTTCTGCCAAGGGGTACTTCTCGTACATCACACCGAGAACAATTCTTCTGGCTCAGAGTCTCTACTGATCTTGGGCCAGATTGAGGACCATTAGGTGTCAAGTCTGGTTTCCTATCTTGAGACTTTCTTTCTTGGATTCTACTATTAATTTCCAGCTGAAGTCTACACATCTGCTCCTGTAGGTCACTGATCAGGTTCACTACTGACTGAAAACATGGGAGGAAAGGAAAAAAAAAACAAAGACAAAAAAAGAAAAAAAGACAGGTGAGAAAGAAAATGATGCAAAGAAGATATCTTTGTAGTTGCAGCACAAAGAAATACATGAAGCACATCAAAGGCAAACTAAAAAAAGACAGATTATGTGTTTCCCTTCTGACAAAGCATAAGCAAACAAGTATAAAACTGAAATACTGCACAAAGCTACAGTTTAAATGGAACAGAATCTACATTCCAGACAATTTCATGATTCTGATTCTAAAGTTAAGATCAGAATTTGGTTCCTCATTTTTGGAAACTTTTACAGTCACATGAAGTCAAATAAAGGAAAACTTGGAACATGTTTTGATATGCTGGCTCAGAGGCATACTTTTGTTGAAATGGGACTTGATTACATTTATTTTCACTGCCAAATCATCCACTAGGAAGAAACTGCAAAGTGCTCAGTTGGGGCCATAACCTACTTTTTCACAATTTATACACAGAATTTACTAGTAAAGTAATTCTGTTTCCATGTGTAGTGTGGGGCAGAAAAATAACTCCATTCCCTCTCCTGCTGTCTGGGCTGGATCTTGACATGGAGAAGGAGTTAAGAAACATACTTAGGAGAAATCAAAGGATACCACAGAAGAAAAAGTAATTACTTTAATGTGTGCCAATTTGCTGGTCAGCTTCTTGGACTTGTGTGTATCAGTGACACACACAAAAATATAGCCAGCTCAGAAAGCAAAATAAAGTCAAGTATTAAAATCTACATAACATTGCACCTAAGCCCCCAAACTCTGTAGCAAATAGAGTTAGGTATTTTCTCAGGTATTACAAGTTGGGAGTTACTCTCTCTTGGCTTTCATGTACATTTAATAACATATGTTTTGTGATTTCTCAGCCTTCTCAAGTGGAACAAATTTGATGAATTTAATCCATCTCCCAAAGGAGCGGAAGAGATTTTAGTGGACAGAACAACAGATAAAATGGCAGGATTTTTTTTTTTAATTTTTTTTTTTCATTACAGTGCACAACAGTTATCCTGTAACCTCAGCTCTCTGGTGAATCAACAGTCTCAAACCTAGGGAACAGCTACTGCATGGACAGGACACTATTCTGACCAGGTAAGTATTAACACAACCAATCTCATACTGCATCAGCATCTGCAGCCAACTTGGAACATTCACAAAGACGTACAAAACGTGTGTACAGAAGTTAGGTATGAGAACTTCACATGTTTAAGTATTTTTCTAGGGGCTTAAGATGTGGGCTTAAGACGAAAGTCAGAAAAGCAGTTACATATATTTCACTTTTATGCGTATTATTGTCAATCTGGATCACAACGTCTGATGCTAATCCTCTGTCATCCAACAAACATTTAACTCACATAAATGAGGAGCAGTTCCATAAACAATCAAAAAAATTAGGAAGAATACCAGTCCCTAGCAGACCAACTCTGCAATATCCAGCCTTAGGCTGGCATGTTTTGCCAGGGCTGCACATGTTAAGGACAGCTCCCCGAGGTGAAAACATATCATTCATTCAAAGGACACAAGAGCCACTTTACAGCCACACAATAAGACACTAGCAAGGGGAACATCCCCCCAGCTAACTCATCCTCTACACTACCAACTGTCTGTACAATTCAGACACTATCCACAACATCTTCCATACTTGGCTTTTGTTTCCTTTTTTACCCTCATCTCCACAATCAGGTACCCCACTGAGCAGTACCAGCTGGGAATTGGGACTGTCAGGACACACATCCATCTCCCTCGCTTTCTTTTAAGCACCAAAGCTTGGTCTGTGCTTGTCTGTGACACAGACACTGTTAACCCACACGAGGTTGTGTTCCTGCTCAAACAGGATGCAGACTTCTGAGCACAAAGTGAGAGCTGCTCCAGCTGTGGCAACATGGGGGAGTTCAGAAGCACTTCTGCTGTCAACTTGCAATTCTTTTCTCTTTTGCCTCACATTAAAAGTGGGAATGGGAAACACTGTGTCCACACAGACTGTCCTCAGGGCAAACTTGACAGTACAGATGAACTCCAGCTGCAATATGTACCTTTACAGTTGTTTCTATTTTCAAGGTAGGACAGGCTTCTCATTTTTGAGATTTTTTCACAGCATGAACATTTATTAACACTTATGACATGTTGATTCAGATGGGACAACACACCAAACTCCCCAGAGAGAGTCAGTGGCTCACTGACTCAAGTTTCTTTGGAATTGCAAGTAAGTTTGCACTAGACATTTAACTCAGAAGTTACAAGAGCCACAAAATACTTGCCAACAGTTTCTAGCCAAAACCACAGCACTCATCCCATGCTAAAAAAGAAAGCACTAGGATAGAAGAAGGGCTGTGAGGCAAGTTGAAATGGACAATTGCTACTGCAGTCTCTGCACAGTGACACAGTCTCTTTTGTCCATGTTTAGGTAGAGCAGGGATCTGGGCTGCCTTTAATCACTTGATAATGCCCCTCACTCATACCTTGCTACGTTAAAACCCCCGTATTTTCAACATTTCTGAGGCTTCTCAGGTAAGAGAAAAGTTGCACAAACCCCTCAGGTGAGACTTCAGAAACCTTCAAAGCATTACTGTGGCAAAAGTATAACAGCAAAGGAATTAAAATGACAAATCCAAGAGTGAGACAGTCCATTTACAAGCAGCTATTCTCCTGGCCCCTGTGTAATATATATAAATAAATGGCATTTAAATTTAGTATGTGCTTTTGGAGAGCCAGAGACAAGTGGCATTCAGTGTGAAATCAATACCTTTGAGAGGAGGTTAGAGATGCTTGATAAACTTTGCTGCTAACTAAAACCAAACCCAAATGACAGCTGCACAAGATAAAGTGAAATGAATCTGACACATTAAAACTTGCTCATATTTAGAAGGGTATCTTAATTTGCTTTGTTTCCTCCCAACCCAACCAGAAAAATAATTCTATAGATAAAGCCTATGTGACTGGAAACAGGTGTTGTGAAATAAGCCAGCACAAAATTAGAATACAGAGAAAATACAGTGTAGCTGCATTATTCTGCAATGCCACATTTAATTTTAAACTTCTGAAAACCCATTATTATATTTAGAAATAGCAGGGTCAGCCATGAAGTATAATTAACAAGCTGTTTAAAATGGTTTAACTACTGGATGCCTTTGTAACACATGCATCCACGTGAAAAAACTGATAGTAGCAAATCCATCAAATCACTATTCTGACCACCTTTATCAATCCTAAACTCAGTTTTGGAAGCAGCAACTGGCCAGCTGCAGTCCATGAGAAAGGGTTTTGCTCTGCCAACCACAGCTTTGCTCCACTCATGTAAAAAAAAAAAAACAAACTAACTGCAATTTCATTTGAGGCATTACACACTGTAAGGGCATGCTGCAGTGGCCACGATGTGCAGAGATACAGTTACAGCAAGATTAATTTCATTTGAGCACTTGTCAGTTTGGAAAACTGTCTCACTCTGAAGCAATGAGGTGACCAGAACACACCTGTGTGTGCACAAACAAGAGCAAACCACAGGTAGGCTGTTTGTGCATGTCAAAGTGGTTTACTCACTAGAAAGAGGAGGCAAGAAGTTTAGGAGAACAAACTATTACCAAATTTAAGCAGCTGTGGTTTAACAAAGAAAATGTATTAATAAATTTCATTCTGATGTCTGAAATTGTGTCTGTATCGAAAAATTAGTATAACTTACAGGAAGCAAAGCTGAAATAGGGTTAAAGCATTAGAATTCAAATAAGGATCCTATTTGATTGGAAACAACCCCTGTTTGTCTTGATATATTGGATTACTGCTTATTCAGGATAATCTGAAATAATGATACAAGTATCTCAACAAGCAAACCAAAAATGCTGTTTATTTCCCACAGCTTCACCTACGACACCCATTTTCCTTGCTTTGCATATACACATTTTTGACTTTCAACAGGCCAGAAATCTAATCACATCCTGGGGTAGTTAATAATTCAGCGCATACTTAACACAACGATTCTCAGCTTTTCCATCAGATTAGAATCCTTTTCCATCTCAGCAGGAACGTGTCCTATCACTCAGCAATACAACAAAGCCTTCCAGGCGAACAAAGCTCAACTTTTCCACCCAAGGGGGAACACACACCTTCCTGCAGCGGCAGAAGGATTCCACAGGTCACCCTCACCACAGAACCAGACCGATGGGCTACTCAAAAAGTCCTGTCAATAAAAATGCACCCAAAAGCTTTGCTGCTTTCCAGGAGTCAGGCTGACTGTGCGCGTCCCACAATAATTTGGGCATTCTCATCCCGGTATTCCACACGTCATGAGAAGAGCTGAATGCCTCTCCAGAGGGCGGCTGCTGGGAGCAGGCTCCCATCTGCAGCAATTAGGAGCTGCTCAGACCTGTTCAGGTTTTCAGGTACTATGAAGGTGCTCAGGCCTTCTGTACACAAGGCACTGACAATTAAGCGTGAAAGAGCATGAGAAGGGCCACAGATGGTAAAAGCAGCAGCTGGTGCCTCTCTGGCTTGCAAGCTCTGCCAGGAATTGCTCTCTTTAAGTTATCTTTTGATCTCTAAAGAAAACTTCAGAGAATAAATAAGCGGGAAAACAAACACACCCCAAATGTGTTATGTTGGTGCAGTTAAATGACCGATGCACAGTTATCAAATATTTCACCAGCAACATTATGGAGAGCAAACAGTCTGCCTGGATTTCAAATTCTCCTGAGCCAATACGGAACAAAGTTTTGGGTTTTTTTTCAGTTAGCAATGTATAAATCTCAGACAGTGTAATCCTTCTTTTCCAGGTAATCCTCTCCTGCTAGTTGGTCCCATTATAGGACCACTGAGTCAGGCAACACATGGCAATTTGTATGAATTACTCTCTTCCAGGATGGCTTTCCTTCCTTGGCTCCCACCTGCTGCCCACTACCATGAAATGGGTGTTGTTCAGATGATGTTTCACATGTTCATTCAGCATGTTTCATACTGTCTTTCTTAACCAACACAACAAAAAGCAAATCTCCTTTGATGTCCAGAACTCTCCACATCTGAAGGGAATTGCCTTCAGTCCATGACATTTTGTTTTTGTTTTTTTTTTTTTTTTTTTTGCATTATTTATCATGTAACCACATGGCAAAACACTCATTTGAGACAAATGCCCTGCCCCATGTCTTTCCCTACCAAATGCCACAAATGCATTAAAATCCCCAAGTTTGATCATCTCAGTGCTTGTAGCACCACTGATACTATTGAGCCAACAGTCTTTTCTGCCACATAAACAAGGAAAGAGCTCTGGTAGGAATGCCAGGCCAGCTCCTGTGGAAAGGAAAGGGTTAAATGAACACCAACTGTAATATATGCTTCTGGAAGGGACTGTGCCTTGGTTAAAGTCAAACAAGCAAACTCTGAAGTATAATGACAGAGGGGAAAAGGAAACCACATCCCAAAAATGCATGATCACACTCCTCACTGAATTCACAGGATCAGTGATACAGGCTGTGCTGTAAGCATGGAAAATCCCATTGCACGATGACCAGCTCAAAAGCTCAGGTGTATGACACCACATCATAGACACGGGATAGAAAAAACCTAAAAACAAGGTAATGAAAAAAAACAAAACTCACCTCAGCTTTGTTCTGTTTCTCTTCATATTCACTCTGTTCCTTTTCCATACCAACCAGCTTAATCTTCAGGTCTGAAACTTCAGCCATTAGATCTAATTTCTGTGTCTCCAGCGATGTGCGACTCAGCAATTCCTGAATGCAAAGCAGAGTATTTTCTCCAGTTATTTATTTGAACACTGACAGACTGCAATGTAATTTATTGGCAGGCCCACACTAAAGTCCTTACCCCACAGCTGAACTGTATGTTTCTCAAGTGCTGCAGTTATTTTCATCTAAATGTTCTTCTGTGTTAATCACTAAACCACTGTGCCCCACTCCTTATTTCAAGAAAATGTGTGGCAAAGTTAATCCCTGGGCAAGACATGAAATCGAGAACAATACCAAGGCTGAACAAATACAAACCTATATAATGACACATTACAAAATAGTTGGCGTCTTCCTAAAATACCCATCAGACAAAGCTATGCTTTAGTATTACATTGTAGACCTTCTTGTCATTTGTTATTCAATACAGGACATGTTACAAAATGAGAACCCTAACAAAAATATCAAATGGACAAAGACAAGCAATGCTTCTGCAGTCACACTAATAGTACTTGAGAGCTTACACCATGTAGTACTTGGTAACTTTTGAAGGCTACACACTGTGGAGGGAACAGCAGTGAATGAAAGTGGTATGTCCTGACTGGAACTAAAAGGCAATCTCTAAAGTGAGTAACAGTGAAAAGGAGAAACAACCAGCCTTGACTTTTGCTTTTGTCCCCCAGGCTTGTTTTTCAGATTGCAGGGTAGACATAATTTGGATGGAGTCATCTCACTGTGTTTGGAAATCATTCAATATTCACACCTTCATTGCACCTTTCAGTTTTCAAGAAAGCCAATGCCAAAAAACATCAAAAATTCAACAGTGTTTATTTTATATATATATATATACACATATATATATATATCCATATACACATATATATATATAAAATGCTCATGTTGGCCTCCATTTTCCAAAAGTCCATTCTGGAGTTTAAGCCTCACTGAAAAATTCATACCTAAACTTTCCAAGTGCCCAATTAATTTTTTCAAAAGGATGCTCCTTTCTAAATGGTTACAAGTGTTTGCAGTAATTCATAAATCACATTAGTGTTTTGATCACATGAAACACACTGAGGAATCACAGCTGATTCTGCTTTGAATTACATGGAAGTGACTTAACTGAAGCTGCCACAGTTAATCTGTGTCTATGCTGATGTTACTGAGTGATCAGAATCGCCTTGTCCATCACCCTTTTCTCACCTCTTTCTCTCCCATAAACTGTACAGTGTGTTGTAGACCAGGGGTTGGAACCAAGGAAGCCACAAAGGTTATTTTAAAAATCATACAGCTAAGGTTTGTTTTGAAGCCCAATCTGCCCTACATGTGAATTGGTTTAGTCTGGTGGGGAATAGTGCCCAAATTAAAAACAGTACTAAACTTGCATTGGCATTGCAACACCAATTATCTAAGTCACCACTATTCCCAGTGCCATGCCCATTCCTGCTGACATCAGCAATGATATTTGTGTATGGATAGGAAAATAAACAAAAATGTAGCCCCATGGTTTGGGCTTTTTTTTTTTTCCTTCTTCTCTAAATGAAATAAATCAAGCACTAATCAGGAAAAGATATTGCACTGACTTTTATTACTGAGAAACTACAAGAGGCAGTCACCTAATGAAATCCCAAGAGTAGCTGCTTTCTACAAAGGTGATTGCAAATTACAATTATAATTACAAATACCTCCTCTATCTTCCAGAATAACACTAACTTGCATGAATTTCAGAGGCACATTTCAGTCCAGACTGGAACAGGCTCTGTACAGCTGTTGACATAGCAGACTACTGCAGCTTAAGACATAGCTATAAATGACAATTTTGATATGAAAAAAGGCCACTGAACATCAGAAAGGGTAGCAGGATGAGGCAACTCTGGCCCTGTGGACAGACTCTATTCAATGTTGAACTAAAACAACACTTAGACTTTGTTTTGGACACTGACATGATGTTCCATGATATGAGAGGAGGATTTCTTAATAAGGCAAGGAGACACAGCATCCCTCTGGAGATTTTTAACAAAAGATCTATCCTTTGAATGCACTATCTGGCATTATTCCTTTTTTTTTTTTTTCTATAGACTCCTAAATTACACTAAGTTATGCAATGCAGAGCAATACACACTCACTGCTCTCCTTCCAAGTTCAGTAGCTCTGTGTGAACACGAAGGCACCACCTGGTATAAGTGAGTATGAAGGCAGCTGATTTTCTTTTTTTTTTTTTTTTAATCAGCTCTAACAAAATTTTACAGTTTGCTCTCAAGCTGGAGAATCAGATTCCCAGCTAGAGTAAACTGGCACAAAACTCTTGACTTAAAATAGACAAAACAGCTAACTATCCCTAGTTTGTTTTCAATGGAGCTACACTGATTTAAAACAGCTGAAAACTTCTCTTGCATCTACAGAATCTAACTTTTGCTTTAAAAGCAAGTGCCGTTTAAAGTAAATGTCCCCTCTTGAAATGGTAACATCTGGAAGCAATTATTTTCATCTTCAAGCAGATGCTCACAGTGAACAGCTCATTAAGAATGTGACCCATTTTGTTACAGAGAAATTATAGTGTATTTCAGTGGTATGATGCAACTTCAATTCGGCCAGAATAAATATGCAATTGTAAGAAAAGAAAACACAAATTTATGTTATTGATTTTAAAGCAAAAAAAAACATAATACAAGACAGGCAAAGTGGTAATTTGGGCTGTAGCAGCTTTAGGAGGATCCTAAAGAGCTGAAATACAGAACAGAAATAGAACATATCATAGGGAATCTGCTTTAGAAACAAGATACTTCTTTTTATTTTTAATTTTAAAATGTACTATAAGTATAATTTAATTTCTTAAAGTTCTTTATTTGAAACTCAACCTTTAACTTTAAAAATTAAGGGAAAAAACTTATTTTTGAGTAGAATAATTACAAAGATGGTCATGCAGAAGCTACAATATGTATGTACCAGACAGATCAAGGAACAGCAAACTATTTCCAAATACAAACGTATTTTTAAAATTCACATTGTATACTTCTAAAACATTTAACTGACTTTTCCAATATTCCCAATGAAACTGGAGCACATGCTCTATATCTCACATTCACATTTTATTGTCTTGGAAATACATAATTCTTATAAAGCAGCTTATAAAATTTAACATGACAGAAAACAGCTTGAAAAGAGGACCCTACACTTTTCTCGGGCGTCAGCCTCAAGCACAGAAAATTCCAGGATATTTAGCTCTTCATAAAACAGAAGAAACAATCATGCCATACACTGATTGAGAAACCACAGGCAAGATTTTAGTCGAGTGGGGAGGCGGGGAAGAAACCCCCCCAAGGATCCCATTTTGCACTTGTACACCATACAAAATACAAACATTCAAAAAATTCCTTACTTTTCACGCTTATTAAAAGAGTTGAGAGAGACAGACAGACCAACCGACCTACCTGGTAAGCAACATCCAGCCAGAGCCACCACTAATGAGGACTGCACTTCTCAAGTGCTGTGTGTCAGCTGTGGTAGAAATAAGATATTTGCTTAGCTGAAAACACAGCTGAGAGCAATGTACATCTGTAATCACCATGAAATGGTGCAAGTCAGTAGCAGTCAGTGAATTACAGCCCTCCAATTCATCATCTGCCCATTATATAGCTAAGCACGGGAAAGGACAGAACTTCCCACTGCACTGCCAATTCGAATCCGCCTGACCAGCAGGACTCCTGCCCACGTTAGCTGCAAAATAACAAAGCAGTGGAATCCTCACCTGTACAGATAAGCTGGACAACTTGAGAGAAACACTCTGAAAACCTTATGGCTCACACCAGAGCAGCACAGAGCACACTTGAAAATCTGAAACGCTAAGCCAGCTGCTGGCAAGAAGTTACTGCATGCTATAAACAAGTGCTGAAATTCATCTAAGATCAGATAACTCAGGCAACTGAAAGTTGAAGGAATGATCTTTGCCAGCCAGCAATGTTCCTGAGAAGCAAACAGATACACACCAGATTTATATCCTGCAACCAAGACAGGATTCTGGCTCCCCTGAGTATAAGACAACTGCAAAACCAGAGCAGGTATACACAAAACAGCATTGGATTCAAGTTCCTACCTCACACAACTCCTCCCTGCGTTCTTCTAATCCACTGTTTTTTAAAAGATCCTCCGCTGTGCCCCACACAGGGCACTGTCTGCCACACCTTCCCCTGGCCCTTGCACTCAGGCAGAAGCAGGACATAAACTCACAGGACAAAAGAAATCCACCCCTGCAAGCATTCAAACATTTCAGTTTCTCTGTTTATTTTTCAAGATAGAAAGAATCCTAAAACCAAGTGCTTTCTACATTGCAAGATAATTTACTTCACTGAAGACAAAACTGAGTTTACACAACACAACCACGCAACAAGAGTCCCTTGGATTGCATCTTGCAATTATGTGTCAGAAATAATGTGGAAGGCAGAAGGACATGGTCAAACCACATCCAGGATTTGGTACAGATCAGCTACAGCACAGACATTGCCACACACACCAGTATTTTCATTGGCAAAACAAACTGCTATACTTTATGCCAGAGAGCTTCAATGGGAATTAGTATCTGCTAAATAAATCAAATGCAGCTCTGGAATAGCAAAGAGGTAACTTACTAATCTTACAATAATTACCAAAAAATACATGTGAAAGAACAGTGGAGGTGAAATCTGTATGTGCAGAAAATTCACTATTCAAACTGACTTAACTCAGCTGTCAAGCCTGACAGCACAGATTCCAGAGCACTGATGAGTTTACATTAGGCATGGCTGGTACTTTCTGCTATGGGACAGTTTAGGCAGCTTTACAGAGCAAAATTTACTTCTGCTTTCCAATTCTATAGCAAGTTGATAGGAGATTCCCCCAAGGCTAACATAGCAATGTTCAACATCCTCTTTTCTCTTAGAAAAAAATATATTTCTTTCTTAAAATCGACTGCAAGAAAGCACTTAAGTGACGCCACAAAGTAACCTAGAACAAGACACATGCATCATTGCTTCCTAAAATTGGCTGTAACTTTACATTTTAAAGCTGTTGATATACTGGAAATGGACTATGTCACAGCATATACTGTTTTCACAGGATAATTCTAGGCAGTTTTTTTCTTTTATTTTTGACATATTCATTACAATGTGCTAAGGCAAAATGCAGGTAACTATTCACACAGGCCAGCTTTTCCAGATCATTTACACATTTAATGGCAAGACAGAGACACCACTGGAAGGCAACTCAATGAGATCAAACTTGTGTGTTGCTCCCAGTCACGCTCCAGGAAATTTTCTCTTACCATTTACTATGAAGGACGACCTTGTTTCCTGGCCCAAACAAGAATCATACTTAAAGAGTGATCTGAAGTTTTGTCATTGACTTTCTTGAGTTTTCGAAAGACCTGCTTTGTTTTTGAAGCAAGAAAATGCAAACACCTTCAAGGTGAAAATGGCTTTTCTTGATTATAGCCTGTAGAGGAAAAAGTGTCCTTACAAAGGTAGAATGTTGAGTTTGACACCATAAGCATCACATGCCTGCATTATCTGTAACTGTGCACACCAGGGCATCTGTGCCTCTCTTACACAGGATTCTCTTGCTCCTCAAACGCTGCTGAGCCATATTTTCTTTGGCTGTGGTTCCGTAAACAGGTAGGTCAAACCCACATCTCTCCATTGCCCCTGTGCCACACTTTGACCTTTTCTGTGAGCTGTTTCAACTCAACCAGCAGAAAAAAACATCCCCTTCCTTTTAAACCCCGAGTTAGTTTTCTCCCAGTCACTGAGGAAAAAGTTTGATGAGCATGACAGCATCAAATCAGTTGCAGAAGCACATGGTAAGGAAGAGGGAGAAGGATGAAAGGAGAATGAGACCTTCTTTTTGTTGCAGCAACCTTTAGATTGGCTCAGCTCATTTCTTGAAAGTTCAGATTTGACTAAGGGATGTTGCACCATCCTCTCAGAGCAACGAAGAATCGTGATTTTCTTCAAAGAAGCAGCAGTATCTGTTGCTACTATTCCACGTTCAAGATGCCCACCCAAAATGCTGAACAGCCATTTTATGTTATTTGTGTAAATTTTATTTTAGCTGCTGTCTCAGAAGTGGTTCCACGATCACTTTGTAGCAAGGTTCAAAACAACTGTGCATAAATCATAAGCCAGAAGGATTTTAGCCAGTAACCCCACCCTGACAAAGAGAACAAGTCTCTGCTAGCATAGATTCAGCAAAAAGTATTTTTCAGGGTAGCATTGCATACCCTTTCTGTTGTGGAACTGCCATGTATCATCATTAAATTGTCCTAAAGTTTATTATTTTTGTTTTTATTGTAGCATTTTGGGCACAGAACTAATTAAGAGTCACTTACAGTTCCCAAAATTAAAAAAAAAATGGGGCTAATCCTGAACTCAGGTATATTAAGTCAATAATATGCTTATCTATACTGCAGTTAGCTTAGTTCTACTAATATACATAAAAGATTTTTCAAGCTGGAGCAATTATCTTTATCACTCCATTTTCCATTTAGAAGAAGCAGTTGACTTAAGTTCACAAAGACAAAAATGGGTGGAATTAAGTATATCGTAAATAAACAAGCAGAACCATGAAATAAAACTGAATTTACACACACCTCAGGAAGGTAACAGAAGTCATTCTGAAAAGCAGGACACTAGCAACTGCTGGCTGAGAAGATTTGAACCCAATTCTCCCCCAAATCCATCTGTTGAAGCCCCTGAGGCCACATACTCACTCAACTTTTGACAAATGGTCTGCAGGAAGGTCTATTGGCCACATATCTTACACGAATGTCCTAATCACTACACGATTAGATCATTCTCTCCTCTCTAAATCTCAGCTCACTCCCTGTAGAGGCTAATCTTTTCAACAAGATGAACTGAGAAAAGAACCTTCAAAATAAACTGTAATAAATAGGACCCTCTGCTGAGCTCTAACGAATGTACAACTTCTCTGACTATTGAGATGTTGAGAGACCCAACCTGGGTTTCCCATAACCCACCCTCTACTGGGAGATGTAATCTGTGTGAGAAACAACAACTACAGCCGTTCAGAGTTATCTCAAAATTTAGATTTAAGGTTTATGTTTAAACATATCTGGAGATTCTCTGACTCCTTTAGCTTCAGTACAGTCCTTTGTAGCTTATCCCTTTAGGATCAGCTTTGTAAGCAGTTTGTGCACGTGCATAATGCCAGACGAGTAGATGCAAATGTTTTCACTGAAACAGCAAAGTAGGTGCACCATTATATTCTATTTTCAGATGCCTCAGTTTTATGTTAAATAAGGCTTTAAATTCACAGTTTCCTCAGAAGACTACCAGGGCAAAAAAACTGAAGTCAGAGAAACAATGAAACAGTTTTAGCAGAAGCCACAGAACAACTATCTAGTTTTTAGGTTGAAACAGGAAGCTTCTACATTCTATTGTGAATGCCTTCCTGAAGTCTGAAAACAGATTTTCATAATTTAAACAGTTACTGTTCTTTGAATTTCACTTCAGATCTCACTGGAAAACTAAACGCACTCGTTATTTGCATTTTTAAAAATGTCCCCTCAGAATAAAACCTTTTCCAGTCGGAAGCATTTCGGGCTGCAAGAGTTGTGAGAGATGGAAGGTTTTTTACCCAAGAATCTTTGAGAGTAGTAATTTCAAAGGTTTAGGATACAAATTTATCTTACAGAAACTGCTGTTGTCCACATATATATGTACAAGAATGCTCATAATAATTTCAAGCTATGATCAGTTCATAGAAAGACTTTTATATTTCACATAAAATAGTAAATTTTTAATAAAAATTTCATGTGGGGAGAACTAAGTTCATCAAGAACAGTATCTACCCTGCAAATTTCTGGCATAGATTTTGAGGGTTATTTACAGTTTCAGACCTATTTTTGTATCTATATACTGTATTAACAGAAGATCTGCATCTGTAAAAACGTGAAAGCTCTTTCGCATCAACAGACCTGCAAGCTCTGTAGTAACATATGAAATTAAACATATTTATCATTTGTTCTGCTCCCTCAACATAGACCATCAAAGAGCCTGAAAGTGTCAACTGAAATAAAGAAAAATATGTCACTATATACTAATTTTCCTATATAAAAATAAAGAGAAAGTTCCTAAGTTAAGCAAAAATAGTTCTAGAACAGAAGTTAGAGTAATTCATTTCAACCAGCTACTTGTTCAACTTCAAAGCCAGAGGAAAACAGAAGACATTTAAATAAAACTTCTTAATTCTATAACTCCTACATATATTAGATACATTTAACCTGTCTAACCAGTTACTCAGCCATGTCCAAATGAGCACAGTACAAATAAGACACAATAGTTTCATTTTACATGCTGCCACGTACAGTATTATGCAACCAGCCAGTAAAACTTTTCTGCAACAGGAAAACAAAGAAACATTCATTGGGGGGGAAAAAAAGTGCAAAGCAGCAAGAGAACAATAAAAGAGACATTTTTTTTATGCCTGTTTTATCTCGTTGCCAAAGGCACTCACACATGCAGACAAGCTGACCATGTATGTTCACCCCTCCGCTGGAGAAGATTATGCAAGATGGTTTGCAATCCAGATTTTTACCTGTTGAAGCATTTCTTCTGTAGCATTCAGCTTCAACTGATGCCCCTCAAGACAGATTTCCAAGTCCCGGATTTTCTCTCCTTGAGCTTCCACCTGGTCTGTAAGAACACTCACCTGTAATTTGAGCAGAGAAGTACAATGCTACTGAACTGACTGTAAATAAGTTTCAATTACCTTACACACATAACATCCAAAGGCACGTTTTAACAGCAAGTTTAATATTCTTGTGCACTGCAGCAACCTGCTCTACCAAGATTTTTCAGTCTTACCTCTACTTCGCTTCAACCACGCCCTCTCATCCCCCCTCCCCCACAATTATTTTGTTTTGATATAAAAAAGAAAGAGCGTTTCTAGAAGAGATGGAATGCTACCCATAGGTAGGCATTTCATGCAAAAGTCTGAAAAATTAGAAAGCAGCAAACAAGAACGTAGGATGCTGGAAATATTTTATGTGGTTTTGGAGCACACATTGCCATTTCAAGTTCTGTTGGTATTTCACTCCCTAAAACAGATAAATAGGAAAACTGTTCATTCCAAAACCAACCAATTACTTTACTTCTTACAAGAACAGAAAGCCAGCTTACCTATCAATAAAGCCTTCTGAAGTTATAAAGAATGTAATGAGTAAAAGGCATGTTTTAGCAGTGACAAAGTTCTATTCCAAGAAAAATTCCCAGGCTTTGGCAAGCCAAAACATGAAACCAAAAGAAGTGAGATACAGACAATGAATCCCAGGAAAAGAAACAATAAGCAATACTGGTAAAGAACTGTGGGAATGGTGGTACAGACCAGTGTGTAATAAGAAAAGCCCAGTTGCCGAATTCAAAGCTTGCAAAGCAGAAAAAACTATGCCCAGGATAACACTGGAAAGATGTGGAAAAAACCCCGGTGTTAATTCCTGTGTTAAGCAGCACATACTCTCTGTATGTTCATTTTCACTATTTATTTATATAAAAGCCTTGATTATACCAGAAAAATGTTATCTCAAACAAACAAAGAAAAGGAGCCTAAGGTGTTTAAACTCCATTTTGAGGGGAATGCATTAACAAAAACTTATCCATGCTCTCATATCCAACCCTGCAACACCTTTAATAGAAAAAAAAGGAAAAAACAAAGGTACAGTATATCTAAGTGAAACTTTTGAGATGTACCCACTAAGTGGTATTTCTAAAACCCAGTGAACAACAACTGGGTTTTAGAGTTCATTTCAGGGAAGCTGCAGAGGGAGAGACTGAATGATCTGTTTTACCTGCAAACATAATGACAAGCATGCCTGGGAAAGGAACGCAGAAAAAAAAGAAATAAACCAAAAAAGACTATTTCTTCCCCCTTTAAAGTAGCTGGCTGCAGCACAGAGTACAGATGAACTCAGCATGAGAGAAGATAGGAAGGAGTGGGTGGAGGCAGATGGCAGGGGGACACATCCAAGCTGGGGCAGGAGGAGAACTCCCTGCTCAGAAGTCTTCTGCTTGTCTGCTTTTGTTTTGCTCTCATTAAAACAGGGATGTCACACAACCCACCCCCCCATGAGGTCAGAAAGCAGGAAGAAACAAACTGAATCTTCTCCTTCAGCCTGATGCAGGTTCCAGAGAAAGAAAACCAGCTCTGTTTAGAGTGTCAGGTTAGGTTCCAACCACCACTGCAACTGAGAAGCAAAACTCTGTATGTTAAATGTGACCTGCAAAGGAATTCAGTAAAACCTTACTAGCTTTAAAAGCATGTGTTAGCTGTTCCAGTAGTTAGGCTAAGAGGCACATTAGCCACTTTGAGCTCATATTTTCCCCTCTGCTCAGGAGCACATCTGCCAGACTCTTCAGGGAATCAGAAGGCTGCACACAGAACATAATCCCAGTTTATGCTACCCTGGCAAGTCTATCTTGCCTTAGGAGGGCAACACCTGCAACACTCAGCCTGTAGGTAACATATTTTCTGTGAGTATCTATAAAAGTGAGGCATACTGAACAATTAGCTAAAAACCAAGTGGTATAAAGGTTAAAAACTTCTTTGTGAGAAAAAAACCAAACCAAAACAAAAATATCCCCCCCAAAAAATGCCTAGAGGAGAACATTAGCTGCTTCACATAGGCAGTGAGCAGTAAGGAGGTATCCCAGATGCTGTAGCATTCATTTCCAGCCTCCACTTCAGACTGAACAGTGGAAGTAGGTTTCCAGGTGCACTGTTTGACTCAGCCTTGGTGGACAGGAATAGTGGGCACTGCCTGTGTCCAGTACAAAGTGCCTTGTACTGCTGCTCATGCAGCAAGTCTGATGCAAGACTGGAGTGCTCCCAGCCTCATATTCCCCACAGATTTTACAGCTACAGGCCACAGTCATTAGCACAATTCAACATGAGCCATAGAATAGAGGTGCTCTGTTTCCCATTCCTTTCTCATCCTTCATGCCAATGGTCACACCCAGGAGCCAGGTTTGTACCAGCAGACTCCCTCAGGCCAGTGTAACCTCACCATGGGACTTGCCTGTGCTCCTCATATTCAACTGCCTAGACTGAGCATGCACAGCTGGTGCAAACCAGGTTCTAAACCCAGCACCATCATGGCACCTTTGTTGTTGTTGTTGTTGATGTTCATCTACCAGACTGAGGGTTTTGTCTATCTTATTTGCCTGGGGTTTTTGCAATTCTACTGCAGTGCTGTGCAGCGGGAACAGAAAAATTCATAAATATTGACTAAGCCTTTTGATTTTATGGGAGGGTGATGGGAGTAAAAGGCAAGAGAAGGACAATTTCTACACCTGATTTTACTATATTCCTTTTAAGAAAAACTCTAGGCAGGTCTCCAAACCATGTAATAAGAATACCTTCTTTGTGCATTTGGCTTGCACCATCCTTGGGTACCTATTTGTGCGGATGAAGAAATAGTTACTAAAAATCTGCATGACAAAGACAGGGAAAGCACACACTGAGCAGTAGCCTGGAGCAATCTTCAGGAACCTGTAAGCACTGGAGAGTTGTGGTCCTGTTAAATCCACACAAGCTGATGCACTTTGAACACCAAGATTCTGACAAACCTGTTCAAGCCCACCAGCACCCACGACCATCGACCACCAGGTAGCACGAACAGGTCTACAGAAAGATCACAGGGCTAAACAGACACGTGAGAAACAAAGGAGGGTCTCACAAGCAAAGCCACAGGTGCACCAGTGCAACCCTCTGCTTTGGAGTAAACAGCTGGGTTCGGCCTCCTAATTGCTGCTCCAGTTACGAGCTGCTCGTGTGTGCGAGTGAACTGTACAAGATGTGAACGTGTTGTGTGAAAAGTTGTTTGCTGTTACTGATGGAATCAGGATGCCAGAGTTAACCACTCGATTAATGAAAGGTGTTCTCACAGATATCAGTTGTGATGTTGTCTCCCTCAGAAAAAGGGGAATCTGTAGCACGCACTTAAACACCTAAATTCCAACCAGAAGTTCATTTTTCGTTCAGGATTGTTTTTTTTTTTTTCCTAAATTTGGCAATAGCAATTTTAGTTTAAGAGTAATGAAGAAAATCCAACCAAGAAAAAGCTTGTGTCTCACAAAATATTTATTGTTTATTTAACAACAGCAGTGAGACTTCTGCTCAGTAAATGAACACAAGTGTGAACAGAACATACAGGATAAGACATGCTTAAAGAAACTGGTGACTAAAACAGCTACCCAACACACTTAAGTTTTGTTTGATATTAATACATATGCTTATAATATGTTTTTGTAAGCGAGAAGAGAAAGAGTAGGTAAAGACCATTTAAAGAATCTCCAGCTTCAGTTTTGAAAAACATGGAATATACAGTTCAGTAATAGCAAAAATATGCAGAAAAAATAATTAAGTTTTTTTTTTAAGTTGTAGAACATGTGTTTTCTCCAGGAGGAAAATTTATATGGGACGGAGGATCTGTTTGACAAAGGGTTGGTAAACTGAGAAACAGGAAACCTGGAGGAGCTCAGGCACGAATTTTAAAAGTGTGATTTTTTTCCCCCTTTATCTCCCCCTTAAAGTTTTTGATGATGTAAGCAATTTTGGTACAGCATACAAGCAGGAAAAATAGCTGTTCTCTCTACACAACAGTCTTCCAGTTCACTAAAAATGGTGACACACAGAACCTAGAAAACTGGTACAGCTAAGCAAAACCAGAATGAGAACCACTATCACAGCAGTGTCTTGGGACTCCACAGCATTATTTTTCATCTCTCTTTTAGTCTCCCTCCTCTTACTGCTGTGACTCCCCCTACCCCACCATGAAATCAATCAGAGGGATTATACAAATTCTAAATTAATTCCTGATCAAATATCAGTTACATTTGGTGATCTGCTCACATCTGTATAACAGAAAATACTCTTTCACTTCATCATTTATTCACTGAATAGCAACTCTGTAGACAATGTTCTCTCTTTAGGACATACCTGCAGTATGAGCGACTCTTTATCACCTTCTAATCGTGCCAACCTTTCTTGATAAGTTTCATTATTGGATGAATGATGATTCACCTGTGACTGGGGAAAAAAAGTGCTGTGAGAATTTTTACAGTTAAAGTGTCAAGCAATATTTAACAAAAATTAGATATATTAAGTGAGTTTTATGATACCAAAAATATGAAAAAAACCTGTCTACAGACCAAAACTGTTCATTTCATGTCCATTAAATGTACCTTTGAACATTTGAATGCACCTTTTCTAAGCTGGATTTTAAATACTCTATCATTTGCAGCAATCAAGAATGGTATAGGAATAGAATGATATTTTCTATCAAATTATAATTTCAACAAAAAATACCATTTTACTGAAACAAAACCCCTTTAATTTGAAATATCTGGTGTTGACAGTCTTTTGCCAAAGTAAAGGAATCTTGGTGTTTCAGTGGTAAAAACTGCCATAGGTATTATACTATTCCTTGAAATTACTGAAAGAAAAGTAGAATTTTTTTTTTAGCAATTAAAAAATTATTTAAATTATCAAATTCTCATTGGGAATTACTCTAGCCACGTAATCACTTATGGATTGCTAAACGGCTCTAGGGAGCAAAACCTTCTAAAACATGGCCTGCTTCTAACTGTTAGGTCCCATTTCCTATGAATTTTAATACTTCAGATAGAAACACCACAATTAAAAAAAAAAATCTGCAGATTTATTTTAAAAAGTTTGGAAGAGTCTCGTAGCCTTATCCTCCGTATCAAACCATTGTGTAACTGTGGGAATGTTTGCTCAGAGCATCAAAAGTAACCTGAGCCCTCAGAGGTTCATTTCCCAGCTCTGTTGCAGGCAATGCATTTCTACCAGGGAATGTAACACTGTGCCTGGCTTGTCAGCTAACACAAGAATCCAACTTCAATGAGTTCCCTTCAACTGCACTCATCTGCAGCTGACTCCTCATTTATAGTTACTTGCATAATGGCATCAATGTAATGATAATCCTCCTCCCCAACTGTCCTTTCTTTTTCAACTGAACACTTGTGAACAGGATTTTTAAAAAATATTAGCTATATACATAGCTTCTTGATCTACACTGAGGTCTACAGGTCCAAATGTAATATAAATGATGAAAATACACGTGGTGCTAATTAAAGCAAACCAAGAAATCAAATTTTTATTCAATCAGAAGAGACTTTTCAAGCCATAAAGTGCTAAACTAGATATAAGTATGGAATCTTTACAAGCTGACAGAAACCAAGCACCCTTGTCTCTGATTATGTTGAAAGAAATTGAGAGAATTACAAAAACACCAACAAACAATGCTGAGAGATGTCTGAAGAGATCATCTGGTTCACTGTTCTATCCTAGGACCAATACTCTTGTTTGGATTACAGAGACTTTCCATCGTCTTCTTAGGTGCCCATCACTAGAACATTTTCCTTAATGTCCAACCTGAATCATCATCTCTTCAACTTCAACCTACTGGTGCTTATCATACCACCATGGATTAAAGAGAGGTTCTTCACTTCAGAATTTTTTTTTTTAGTTATTGGAAGACTGTCTGTGGATCTCTAACTAGCACGTTTCCCTTTGGTTAAACAAACACAAGTTTCTCCTGCCTTGTACTCATGTTAATTTCTCAACAGCTGTTTTGTTGCTTTCTTTTGGTTCCTTTTCACCAATTGTTCCTTGACTTCTTTTGAAATTAAGTGCCTAAGAGGAGACACAGCACTCCAGCTGCAATTGGCTTCAGTGGAAAAACCTTTTCACAGACCCTTGGGCCGTATTTCTTTTCATATTAACCATATAGTAAAACTCACATATTTTCAGCCTAGGACCCATAACTTCCAGATCCTTTTTAGTGCTCTTATTTAGCTGCCATTCTGTTCTTCACTCAGTGTTTACTCGCTGTTTCTGCTTGAATGTGTAACTTTGAGCTAGTCTACACTGAATTGCATCCTATTATTTATAATCTTTTCCTACACATCAGGCTCTTATGTTTTAATCATGGCTGCAAGGCCCCTAACTATAATCACCTAAAAATTCACTAAGCTTTGTCCTTCATCCCTGTTTAGAGGGTCAACAGGAACATTAAAAAGCAGGATGTGCAGAATCTCGCTCCACACCTCACTTATTATTCATTGTCAAAAGAAGAATATGTTAACTCTACCCAAATACACCTTTGTCACAAGGTTTTGACCAGTTTATAGCAAGTACAGCTAAGATTCAAGACCTCAGAGAAATGGCTCTAAACATGCAGATGTGAGTGCACAATATACACAAACAGAAGTCTTGGATAAAGTTTTACCATGGCACCTGTAGGGAGATGGCCCATGCATTAAAGGAGTGATGACCTCACTCACTATTTCTCTCCTAACTAGTTTTAACTTTTTAGAATTTCTGTCCTCACATCTCAGTGTAATTTTTTCAAGCCTTGTCCTGTTATTAAAGAAAACCCCCACCCCTTAATCTCCCCTCCCAGTTTTCATGAAACATGTTTAACTTAGGCCCTTCAGTCAGTCAGTCAGTCAGTTATTCTCTATGGTATTAAAGTTCATTCCTTATTAATTCCTGTGGTACTGTAATGAAACTAAAGATTCTTTACAAGTAAACAATATGCATTTCTGTATGTCTGCCTAGACAATCCTTTGACCTCAGCTCTGCATCCTCAATCATCCTGCCAGACATCCCGTCTGGGTCCTTACTCCACAGAGAGAGCAAAGTCTTACACTGCACTTAAGAATCCAAAATCTTTAGCCTTAGCAGCTGTGTTTCCATTAGGGTTAAGACTTCATTACATGCCATTAAATGAGTTTTCTCAGTAGAGAGCCCACCAGCCTTCCCCAGTATATCTCTGTTTCACACCCAGTGGTTGGAGAGGCTTTCCTGCACCTAGAACATCAAGTATTCAGGGAAGAACTGCATGTTGCTAGGCAGGAAAAGAGTCTCCTAATGACAGAACCTAATCAAGTAGATTTTGCACCCTTTCTCCTGTCATCATGTGCTATTTTTTCTAGGCTAGATTTAAGAAACATACCTGTAACCACTTGTGCAAGCATTATTGCCAATGCACTGTTACATAAAGAATCTGCCGTGAATGCAAAATGGAGTTCAACATTTTTTATAATCCATAATTAAGAATTAGTTCAACATAGAATCAATAGATATTTCACTACATACCAATATAAAGCCTAGTGAATCACCCATGGGAACAGAAAAGGGGGAACAACACTACACCAAAATATCCACCCTGCCCATAGGTCAGTGAGACAGGGCTCAGATAAGTACAGGAAAGTACAGTAGACAGAAAAATGACCTGCTAGATAAAAGTGTCTGATTGACACCCAGCAGTTGTTTCAGACTTGGTAATTCTTCGTGGCATGTATAAAGACAAGATAAAACAATGTAACATGAACCAAGGCCATCTGTGGATGGTTGGAGTGCATTCTGCAGTTGTGAAAGTTAGCACTGAGAGGAAACAGCAAGTGTAGTTACGTGTCACACGTATCAGCAGCAACTGAATAAAGGACTTGTAACACTAAAGACATAAGGCTATGGATGAATTCCAGCTGGTGTAAGAGCTCACAAACAATAAACACAGGCCATGTGGTTGCACAAGTCTAAAAGGCTGAATCAACAAGATTTTCTACAAAGCTAATATTTCAGAAGATGTAGCATTAAAGACCAAAAATTGTTACCTGGGCTTGACAAATTATAAGTTAACGTTAATATTATGTTTCTTATAATGAAAGAATGAGAGAAATTGAATAAAACATGTAAAGAAGTTCATGATAACACATGATAGCAAAGTTGAAGGAAAGATATGCTAAGGCAAGGTAGCTGAAAATACGTTGATGGTAGTACCACTGCAGATGAAAAATCAACTGCATACCATAAATACTTTGCCTATGGGAATCCTAGAGTCCTTAACCAGCAACCAGCACTTCCTCCATTTGCACCATTAAACCACGTCCTCAAGTGCCATATCTACACATTTGCTGAACGCTTCCAGGGATGGCATCTCCACCATTTCCCTGGGCAGTCTGTTCCCATGTTTTACAATCCTTTATGTGAAGAAATTTTTCCTAATGTCTAATCTAAACCTCCCATGACACAACTTGAGACCATTTCCTCTTGTCCTGTCACTTGTTATCTGGCAGAAGAAACTGACCCTCACCTCACTACAACCTCCTTTCAGGCAGTTGTAGAGAGCAATAAGGTCTCCCCTGAGCCTCCCTTTCTCCAGGCTAAACAGTCCCAGCTCCCTCTGCTGCTTCTCCTAGGACTTAACCTCTAGACACTTCAGCAGCTTTGTCGCCCTTCTCTGGACTTGTTCCAGCACCTCAATTCCTTCCTTGTCCTGAGGGGCCCAGAACTGGACACAGCACTCAAGGTGTGGCCTCACCAGTGCTGAGTACAGGAAGACAATCACTGCTCCGGTCCTGGTGGCCACACTATTCCCAATCCAAGCCAGGATTCCACTGGCCACCAGGGCACACACTGGCTCATGTTCAGCCACACCCATGTCCTTTGCTGCCAGGCAGCTTTCCAGCCACTCTACCCCCAGCCTGTAGTGCTGCCTGGGGTTGTTGTGACCAAAGTGCAGGACTCAGCACTTGGCCTTGTTGACCCTCATACAACTGGTCTCAGCCCACTGATCCAGCCTGACCAGATCCCTCCACAGAGCCCTCCTACCCTACGAGCAGACCAACACTCCCATCCAACGTGGTGTTACCTTCAAACATGCTGAGGGTGCACTAAATGCCCAGGCTGTCCACGAAGATGTTCAATAGGGCTGGACCCAACACTGATCCCTGGGGATCAGTGGCTGGCTACCATCTGGATGTAACTCCATTCACCACCACTCTCCGGGCCCGGCCATCCAGCCAGTTTTTACCCAGTGAAAAGTATACCTGTCCACACCATGGGAAGCCAGGAGTTGCAAAACAATTTCTTGAAGCACCTGCATTATGGTCTCCTTAGAGATTTTGGGTACACTTTAATGCGCATCATACTGCAAAACGCATTAGCATGAAAAGTTTCCTGAAACAATTCCAAATCAACTGATTTGCCCAGTTCTAGAA